ACAATGGTGTTGAAAAAATCCCATTGATCTGACAATAATTCAACAAATTGGCCAAAAAAAAGTGATATTTTTATGGGTACAAAAGTGTAAGTGATGAAAATTTCAGGTTTCTACATCATTTTTAAAGAAAAACTAAATAATGGACCTTTTTAGGAAAAGAACTAGAGAATTCCTTGATTCCTTGAAATCACTCATTCTTTCAACAAAAAAACATAATATGGACTATGAACAAGGGTTAACAGTTAGAAGGCTCTCGGCCACAAAAAAGTGGGACCATTCTAGAAAAAAATATAAAATTCCATTTCACCAAATAATGCCTTAAAGGCGTTAGGACATTTTGCCCTGTCCCGAGTATATTTAAAGGCGGGCGGATGTGATTTTCATCAGAACTCGGTGTGGAGCCGTACCTTCCACATCTAGCTTCTCATTATTATAAGTTCGTATTATAAAGTGTGGTCTGATTTTCTTATTATTTTTTTTTGTTTTTTTCAACAAACCGATCCATTTATATGTACTGAGGTCTCTGGGCAGGAGTCTCTGCTTACTTCGTAAAATAATTAGGCGTTCTATATGCGTATTATATTACAAACATGTTGCCTGATTTTCTTATTTTTTGTTTTATATTTTGAAAACCATCTGATTATTTAATGAATAAGAAAATTTTGTCCTGATTTTCTTATTTTATTTTTTCTCAACAAATCGATCCATTTATATGTACTGAGGTCTCTGGGCAGGAGTCTCTGCTTACTTCGTAAAATAATTAGGCGTTCTATATGCGTATTATATTACAAACATGTTGCCTGATTTTCTTATTTTTTGTTTTATATTTTGAAAACCATCTGATTATTTAATGAATAAGAAAATTTTGTCCTGATTTTCTTATTTTTTTTTTCTCAACAAATCGATCCATTTATATGTACTGTGGTCTCTGGGCAGGAGTCTCTGCTTACTTCGTAAAATAATTAGGCGTTCTATATGCGTATTATATTACAAACATGTTGCCTGATTTTCTTATTTTTTGTTTTATATTTTGAAAACCATCTGATTATTTAATGAATAAGAAAATTTTGTCCTGATTTTCTTATTTTTTTTTCTCAACAAATCGATCCATTTATATGTACTGAGGTCTCTGGGCAGGAGTCTCTGCTTACTTCGTAAAATAATTAGGCGTTCTATATGCGTATTATATTACAAACATGTTGCCTGATTTTCTTATTTTTTGTTTTATATTTTGAAAACCATCTGATTATTTAATAAATAAGAAAATTTTGTCCTGATTTTCTTATTTTATTTTTTCTCAACAAATCGATCCATTTATATGTACTGAGGTCTCTGGGCAGGAGTCTCTGCTTACTTCGTAAAATAATTAGGCGTTCTATATGCGTATTATATTACAAACATGTTGCCTGATTTTCTTATTTTTTGTTTTATATTTTGAAAACCATCTGATTATTTAATAAATAAGAAAATTTTGTCCTGATTTTCTTATTTTTTTTTCTCAACAAATCGATCCATTTATATGTACTGAGGTCTCTGGGCAGGAGTCTCTGCTTACTTCGTAAAATAATTAGGCGTTCTATATGCGTATTATATTACAAACATGTTGCCTGATTTTCTTATTTTTTGTTTTATATTTTGAAAACCATCTGATTATTTTATAAATAAGAAAATTTTGTCCTGATTTTCTTATTTTATTTTTTCTCAACAAATCGATCCATTTATATGTACTGAGGTCTCTGGGCAGGAGTCTCTGCTTACTTCGTAAAATAATTAGGCGTTCTATATGCGTATTATATTACAAACATGTTGCCTGATTTTCTTATTTTTTGTTTTATATTTTGAAAACCATCTGATTATTTAATAAATAAGAAAATTTTGTCCTGATTTTCTTATTTTTTTTTTCTCAACAAATCGATCCATTTATATGTACTGAGGTCTCTGGGCAGGAGTCTCTGCTTACTTCGTAAAATAATTAGGCGTTCTATATGCGTATTATATTACAAACATGTTGCCTGATTTTCTTATTTTTTGTTTTATATTTTGAAAACCATCTGATTATTTAATGAATAAGAAAATTTTGTCCTGATTTTCTTATTTTTTTTTTCTCAACAAACCGATCCATTTACATGTACTGTGGTCTCTGGGTTTGAGTCTCTGGTTACTTCTTCAAGTTATTAAGCGTTCTTTATTTATTTTTTGAACCAACTGATTACTTGACAAACAGTGATATGTGGCCTGATTTTCTTATATTTTTTTCCTACATTATGTTCTTAGGAGGCATCTCCTACTTTTTTCCCATTATGTTCTTTGTTCTTTTTGCCAAGGGTTTTTTTTGGCCGAAAAAAAAATTTTGCTTGCAGCAAGATTTTGTCGTTAAATATTTTTTTTTTATTAATTTTTTTTGACAATCAGAAAAATGTGGGCTGATTTTCTAATTTTTTTTTTATATTTTGGAAAACATCAGATTATTTTATAAATAGAAAAATGTGTCCTGATTTTCTTATTTTTTTTTTTTATCAACAAACCGACTCATTTACATGTACTGTGGTCTCTGGGTTTGAGTCTCTTGAAGTTATTAAGTTACTTCTTAAAGTTATTAAGCGTTCTTTTATTTATTTTTTGAACCAACTGATTACTTGACAAACAGAAATATGTGGCCTGGTTTTCTAGGAGGCATCTCCTACTTTTTGTTCTTTTTGTTCCCATTATGTTCTTTTCCAAAAGTCTTTTTGCCAAGGGTTTTTTTGGCCGAAAAAAAAATTTTTGCTTGCATATGTGGCCTGATTTTCTTATATTTTTTTCCTACATTATCTTCTTAGGAGGCATCTCCTACTTTTTCCCATTATGTTCTTTTCTAAAAGTATTTTTGCCAACGGTTTTTTTCGGCCGAAAAAAAAATTTTTGCTTGAGCAAGATTTTGTTGTTAAATATTTTTTTTTTATTAATTTTTTTTGACAATCAGAAAAATGTGGCCTGATTTTCTAATTTTTTTTTTCATATTTTGAAAAACATCTGATTATTTTATAAATAGAAAAATGGTCCTGATTTTCTTATTATTTTATAATTATTTAATTCTATAATTTATTGTTATATTTAATACCAAGGTAATAGAAGAAGACGATCTCAAGGTAATCCTTTGAATTTCTTATTTTTTGGAACAAGCTGATTCTTTTATATTTATATAAATTATTTCTATATATTATACCATGGTTCTAAGAAGAGCTCAAGCTTATGATCTGATTTTCAAGAATGAGATAAAAAACCACAAAATCGGGGAAAAAAAGAAGCCAGCGAATACCTAAAAAAATGTGTAAATATACTAAACGAAATGATATGAATAAACAATAAACAGTGAAAAAGCAATAACAACAAATAAACGAATCAACTTTCTTTTGCGTTGACAGAGGCAGTGGCAGAGGCTGTGACTGCGACTGTGACTGAGGCAGAGGCAGAGACTGAAGCAGAGCCAGAGGTTTGGGGCGCTTGACATTGACGTCTTGTAATCATGTTTTTTTTTCTTAGCTTTAAACTGGAGCATTTCTTAGCTTGTTTATCGTTTTTTTATATACACTTTCTAAGGGTTTATCAAACTTTTCAAAAATATCCAAAAATTAACAAAATCGTTTGACTATAAACCTATACCATATAGAAGTAAGGGTATATGTACAAGTCTAGTTAATTTTTTTGTTCCACCTTTAGGCCTTTGGGCGTGGGTCTTATCTTCCAAAAATGTCTCAACCAGAGGGCGGTGAATGAGCCAAGGGGTACACTGTGCTAAATTTGTAGTCACACAATTAGCACCTGTCCAGGTAGTTTTTTTTTTCTTTGTCTGTTTTTTTTTTTAATGCCGACTTTGTTGGTCGGTTGGTTAGTTTCAGTTTGGCGCATGTCGTCTCCATTACTGACGCGAGCTTACAAATCTGTGAACACAATTCACAGCATAATACCATATCATTTACTTCCACTCCGACACTCAGTGGCCATGTGATCACCATCACAATCACCGGTACCGGTACAGTGAACGCTCGCCCATGGGGGAAAACCTTTCTAATTCAATTAACTAAATTAAGCAATTACGATTGTGACACAAATTAAATGGCTTACACCGCCTCATTAACACTGTTTTCATTGTTTAGACGAGAGACGATGTGTTTAGATTGGGTTTGTGTTATAAAAATAAAAGTAGCATATTATGAGTACACGGTTAACATATTTCAGTTTACTAGTTTAGCTGTAAATTAATTATACAATTTATCATTAAGCATTTATTATTTATATTTTTGTTATGCAAAATTTCATAGATGGGAGTTGAAATTTTAGAGAACGCTCGAATGCAGGCAAATATTCGATACCTCGATAGTGGCATCGATAGTTTCGATAAAGCGTCCTCCAAAAAAGAGGAAAGATATGAAGCAATAGTTGGAAAATGGATAGTTGGAAGCGCTAATGTAGATGATCTTAAAATTGCCCTGCACCATCGATAGTGACAAAAGACTATCGACAGTGGCCCAGACAGGCAAATATTCGATACCTCGATAGTCTCGCGATCCAGGCTCTCCGAGCTACGGATCAGAATCAATCATAATCATTTAATCAACCAATCATTTATTTTCATAATGTTAAAATATGTTACATCGAGTCATCACAGTATTCATAATACATACATAGTGACTTTTAAAGTTCTAATTTATGATTATTTTATTTATATTCGTTTTATTATTTTTGTTTTTTTTTTTTTATACAATTTTGATTAGTAAGTTCCTAACTAAGAAAACTAAAAAAATACTCCGTGGGCTGGAATTAAGCCAAAACTGGTTTTATGGTATTGGTATTTATGTATTTTTAGTCACAAAAAAATATCTAAAGCAAGCTAACTAACTAAGTAAACCAAGTAATTAATCTTTAAAACAATTTATTAAACTTAAAAAATCAAAATCTCTCCCAAAATTATCAATTTTCGACAAATTCTAACATATTGTCCGACATTTTGTGTTTTTCAGATGAAAAAATCGCGGGAAGCGGATAAGACAAATGCAAATGCCGCCAATATGGCGGCGGCGGATAAAAAGAACAACAACAACAACTGCAGCAATCGCAACAAAGAGAAGAGCATCCAAACAAATGGCGTCGCCAACAAAAATTGGAAGGTAAGAGAGCTAAATCTAAGTGTAATTAAAAAACCACACACACACATCGATGGCGTAATTAAGGAAAAGTCCAAATAAATGAAGAAGATTTAAGAAAGAGCTGGTGAAATGCAATAAAGGAAATGCGAAAATTGCGGTGAGGTAATACGGTGAGAGGGAAAATCAAGACTTGCACGTGCCGCACGCACAAAAGCAAGCGTGTTTGTGCAAGCTCCGTTAGCCGGCACACTGACTTTTTGACTTTCGCCCCCCGCCTCCCTCTCTTTACTTTTCGCTCTTTCACTCCCATTTCACATCTCATTTACATCTCAAACTTTTCACCTCACATCATTTTTCATGCTCTTTGCTCTTGTTTTTCCTGTTACGCGGAGGAAAAGAGAGTGGTTAACTTTTAATTGCAACATGATGCTAATTTTGAGACATTACTTTAACCCTTGAGAGGTCATTCAAGAGTTTGCTTTGTAAAATTAGTGAGTTCTTTTTTTTAAGTTTTTTTTAGCTTAAACTATCTGATTAGTAAAAAAAACTATTAAATAATTTTCCAATTGGAAAATAAATGGAAAACCAACTAGGGTTAAAAATTGACCGATGCTTTTTCTTTCGATTATGAAATGAGGAAGCCATTTTGTGTTTAATTACACGTCTCTTGTTCGTTTTGCTGGACTTTATTTTATTTCATTATTGTTATATGTTGTTGTTGTTGTTGTTTATTGCCAGCATCATGCAGAGAAAAAGGAAAAAAAAAAACAGAGAAAAACTGGGCCGAGCGCTGACCTGTTTCAAGAAAAAAAAAAAAAAATAGCAACTAAAGCAGTAGAAACAACAATTAAAGTAGTAACAGTAGCTGCCAGCAGTTTTGTTATTCCATCTCTTTCTTTTTACCTCACTTGCGCTTTAATTGTTTTTCTAAATTGTGTCTGTCTGGCATTCTTTTTTTTTCTGTTTTTCTTTTTAAAGTGCTTTCGCAAGTGCAACATAAAAGTTGAAGCCAAAGATAAAGCCAAGAGTCCGCTATGTTACGTGCTAGTTAAGCTTCATTTTAAATCAAAACCAAATTAAATCAAACTGATGTGTTCATAAAAATTCACAAAAAAAATTCCAAAATAAAATGGTAAAGGAAAAGAACGGTCTATGAGCATGTTTGGGAAGCACAATAAATGGGTTATATAGCAGTTATCTTTCGAATTTTTTTGGGGTATATGTTAGAGTATCTTTTATGTTTTTAATTTCTTTTAATTTAAATCAATATTGATATAAATAAATAAATTATATCTTTCGGGTATAAGGAAATCTTTCAAGATGTATCTAGTATCTTCCAAGATATTCATTAAATCTTAAACATATTTTGACATAATATTTTAAAGTATTATTAACTAAAAAATGTGTAATAAGAGTGTTTTATGTTATTGTTTTTTTTTTATCGTATGCTATATATTATAATGATGAGGATGATACTATTTAGAAAACCTATAAAAAATTCTTAAAAATCTATCCATCTTTTTTTATAAATTTTCAAAAATTGTGATACTTATCCACTTTATGTCATTTCTTTTTTATAAGAAATATTAATATCTTTTCTTTTATAATATTGTATTACATTATATTTCATTTTCTTTACTCAGAACCTTAAAAAAAATTACTATTATTATTATTTCTATTACTAATATTAATAAAAAAAATTATTTAATGCAGTTTCCCTTCCTGTTAGCCAAAAAAAAATCAATTAAGATTATCAGTTAAATCTGCATAACTTTTTTTTGTTTGAAAATTTAAAGCCACACCCTCTTCAACGCCCCCTTACCAAAAGCAGTTCCAATTCATTAAACTTCAATGCCTGAAAAACTTAAAATCAAGTGCGGTTAATTTCCTTAATTAATTCAAAAGCTTCCTAGATAAACAAAAAAAAAATGAACATAAAATTGCATGTTGAATTTGCATGCAAAAAGCCATAAAAAAAACTAACCACAAAAAAAGGAAAAAATTCAAGTGCAGGGTTTTTTTTTTGCATATTTTCAAGTTTTTCAAGTGTTTTTGGTAGTATTTCTTTTTTCTTAAGTTTATATTTTTTTTAGTTGGGTATTTTGTTTTTTTTTTTAGTTTAGTTTGTTGATTGCGATTGCCGTTGATTTCGTTCCGTGATTTGATTTAACGGCATGATTTGGCTAAAACTGAGAAATCAAAAGCATTTAAGGCGATTTTTTGGTCAACGACCTTGCTTAATTATTGCGACTTATATACACATACATACATATATATATATATTTTTTTTTTATTTACAGGCCATCGTCCAGAGTAATCCCAATCCCAATGGCGGTGGTGTTGGTGTTGGTGGTGGAATAGTGGGCGTGGGTACTACAGCTCAGCCACCAAAGGTCTTCCACAACACCCGATGTACCCGTCATCACAAGCCCCATCACAATCACAGTCACAGTCACAGTAATGGAACGGGAACGGGTTCGGGAACGGGAGCACCAGTCACTGGTACGGGTGGAGCAGGTGTTGTCACCGGACTTGGCAACTCATCCGGCAATGGTAATGGAAATGGAGTAACTGCATCCAATAATGGCGTCAATCTGGATGTGGTGCAGAGAGAAAGGGAACGAGACAGAGAAAGGGAGAGAGATAGAGATCGAGAAAGAGACAGGGAACGAGATCATCACCTTCATATGCATAATAATCACAATCACGGTGGTCTCCGACGGAAATCGGAATCCGTACTCTCCACTGACTCGGATATCCGGTTTACGCGCCGGAAACTGGGTGACGGGCAGAAGTGTGGATGCGCCGTAATAGCCGGCTTCCTTATAGCCCTCCTCGTTGCCGGAGCATTTGTCTATGTGGGTTGTAAGTATTCCCGAAAATATAAAACTTTATAATACCCGTTACTATAGTTAAGATATCCGGTATTATATGAAAGTTAGTTCTTTTTGCCCTAACTACCCTTCTCTTAAATGGTTTTTTTTACATTTATATTTGGTTTTCTTTCAATAGATCTGTTTTATAAATTAAAATTTAAAATAATATCTACGAGTATCGGGTATAATAAAAACAAAAAATTTTATGTTAAGTGCTACCGCCATCACAAAAATAACGAGATAAGTATTGAAAAATTTTAGGGAACATCTTATCGATAGAGTTTATAGTATAAAGCATATCGTATCGATACTACCATATCGATATTTTTAAAAAGCGCATAAGAACGAGGCGTCTTCCATCACCAGAATCATACAGCAACCTTCTTAGAATATTGAACAGATTATAGAAGCTTTATTTTAAAAAGAATTACAGGCAAAAAAAAAAAGACTTCTACAAATAATACTGAAAAAATTTATCAAAAATGTTTTTAAAAATGTTCCATGGTTGAGAACAATATATATTCATAAACATTTGATTGAATTCAAGTCACTTTTTCATTTTAAAATTATCTATTTATATTAAAAACCAAAAACAAAAATTAAACAAAATAGTAGTGCTCTTTAAAAACATAAAAAAATAGCTTATTCATAATAAAAAGTTAAAATAATGGAACATATTACTTGAACCAAAATAATTCCCTCCTCCACGCTTCTCATAAGTTAAAGCTAAGAAAAAGTTTCAAAGAAATTATAAAAACTATATTTTTATAATAAAAACTAAAAATTAATAAAAAAAAAACCAATAAATAATAGTTTAAAAAATAGAGCCTAGAGCCCTTCTCGCTTCTCATAGGTTCTACTTATGAAAGTATACCATATTTTGTATATAGTATAGTATATATATTATATAGTATATTGTATATATATAGAATATTTTCAATTATTTTTATATATTTAATTATTCAACTAAAATAATTTTTTTTTTTAAATAGTTCTAACTAATTACAATAATTGTTAATAATTAAAGAAATCTAATTTGGTAATCTTTCCCCTTCACAGACACTTATTTCCGACCGGAGCCTCTGCCGGATCGGGTATTCCGCGGCAAGTTCATGGTCCTGAACGACAGGTGGAACATGGAGCTGGCCAACCAGAACACGATGCGTTTCCAGCACAAGGCCCGGGACTACCGGGAAAGGATCAATCTCACCCTCCGGCGATCCGATCTGCGAGAGGCCTACGAGGGCAGTGAGATATTGGCTCTAGATGGGTGAGTTTCTAAATTTTAAATAATTTTTTAAAAATGATTTAAAAATTAATATATATTTTTTTTTTTAGGAGCGAGGAGAGCAACAACATTGTGGTGCATTTCAACATGATCTTTGACCCGTACGCTGGTTCGGTCAGTAGCGGTGACCTCTTGGCCCTGTTCCACGAGGAGATGACCCAGCCGGAGCAGCACCGGCGTCACTTCGCCAACATGACCGTGGACGTGGCCAGTCTGAGCATCAAGGAGACCACCGGACTGCTCGAGGAGCCTGTGATGTCCAGCTCACCCCTGGGCGGACATGATGAGACGACAGAGCCTGTGATTACGACGACTCCATCGCCACCACGACGCTGTTATCCGCTGGAGCTCTCCTATTGCCGCCAGTTGGGCTACAACATCACCACATATCCGAATCTGTTGGGGCACACCAGCTACGAGCAGCTGGCGGAGGATGTGATCCTGTTCCGGGAGCTGGTGGACGGGGAGTGCCATCGGGAGGCGTACGATTTCGTGTGCCGACTGCTCCAGCCTCCGTGCGACACCCATGGCGTCAATCTGCAGCCCACGCCGGGCCAGATCTGTCGGGAGTACTGCGAGTCCTTTATGGCCGGATGCGGGAGTCGGTTGCCCACACGATTCCGGCACTTCTTCGACTGTGAACGCTTCCCGGAGTCGACGGGCACCCAGTCGTGCCACCAGAAGCCGCACTGCGTCAGCGACATGCAGTCCAATGTCCAGAGTCCCCGGCTCTGCGACGGTTATGCCGATTGTCCGGATCTGTCCGATGAGCGGAGTTGCGCCTTCTGCTCCCCCAATGCCCTCTACTGTGGGCGTGGCAGGGCGTGTGTGCCGCGAAAGGCGCGCTGCGACGGCAAGGCGGACTGTCCGGACGGAGCCGATGAGAAGGATTGCCGTAAGTTGGGTTTGATTTCAAAAAATGGTATATGGTAGCTTATGTTTCTCTCCCAATACCTTTAGTTTCCATAGCTCCTTTGGCGGCGGATCTGCTGCATCCGGAACCCATGGTGCCCTACCTCTCGCGCTTCCACTCCGCTGGCTATGCCGTCTTCTCGGAGAAGGGTGTGGTGGGGAAGCTGTGCGCCGAGGGACTGGAGGGAGATGCCAAGCTGGTGGTCCGCCAGACGGTCTCCGAGTCCTTGTGCAAGTCCTTGGGATACGAGTAAGTGGGATTTGGGTTTTCTGGAGAGTCCTTCATCCTAACTTATGTCATCCGTTTCCTCCTAATCCCAGGTCCGTGGAAATCTTCGATGTCCAAAATGATACGGAACAGTTGTCGGACTATGTGCGCGTCCTGGATCCTCATGCCCCGGAGATCAGCTTCATTCGGACGCACTGCCCCCGCCGGCAGGTGCTCTATGTGGGCTGCGGCGAGCTGCGGTGCGGCGTCCAGTCCGCCCTCTTCAACGCCAAGCAGCACCTCTCCCTGCCCAAGATGTCCTCGCCCGGAGACTGGCCATGGCTGGTGGCGCTCTTCCGCGAGGACATCCACGTCTGTGACGGGACACTGATCTCCCAGGACTGGGTCCTCACCACCGAGGGCTGTTTCCAGGGCCAGCCACGCGCCACCTGGATGGCCATTGTGGGGGCAGTGCGTCTCTCCGCCAAGGCGCCGTGGACGCAGAGGCGTCGCATTATCGGGATGATCAAGAGCCCCGTTGAGGGTTCGACGGCGGCACTGGTGCGTCTGGAGACGTCCGTCAACTACTCGGATCATGTGCGTCCCATTTGCCTGCCGGATGCACTGCAGCGGCGGAAACTACAACAGCCGCCGGCGCAGCGGAGATCCCATGTGGTCCCAGTGGCAGAGCGTCTGGAGGGACAGCCGGCGGAGGTCACGCGGAGTCGTCTCACGCCCGAGAATCAGCAGTTCTTCTTGATCCCGTCCAAGGAGCAGCTGGACAGTGCCACGGAAAACAGCAGCGACGAGGAGGATTCCGATCGGGATCTGGAGGAGGAGAACTTTGGCGGGGAAGCGGCCGCCTCGTTTATGCCCAAGGCGGAGGCCCTGCATCAGGAACTGGACGCCTATCCGCTGCCGGATCATGCTCCGCAGGTGAATTACTATGCGAGTGGAGGGGCGACGGTGACTGCTGCCGGCGCCACCTCGCCAGCCGCCAGGACGGCCACCAAGGCGCCCACTCTGGTAGCGGCGGCACATCCGCCCGAGCAGATCTGGACGAATTGCAATACCCTGGGCTGGTCCCGGCAGCGGGATCACCTCCAGAGGGTCCAGCTCAAGATCGGGGATATGGCGCCCTGCGAGAACGTCTCCATTGCCACTGTGAACTCCATGTGCATGGAGGCCACCTATCAGAAGTATGACTGTACGGTGAGTACTCGGTTTATGTTTATTTTTTTATTGCTTATTATTTTATCACTTTTTTTTTTTTAATTTTTTAAATGGTTTTTTTGAGAATTTTCTTAAAAACAAGAAAGGAAAGCTAACTTTGGGCGGAGCCGAAGTTTATATACCCTTGCAGTTAAAACCGGATATATATCGCAAACATCGGATATAGTTGGCCGATCCTTATGGCAATAGGAATATGTAATCCAATTTTTTACAATACAAAATCTAAAAAAAGTCCCAAACTTCTATCTTCAAAAATACGAAAGTTGATATTTCTACCAAGTACCATTTCCGATCGTTCAGTTATATGGGAGCTATTGGATATAGTCGGCCGATCCTAATGAAATTTGGTAGGTCGGATCAACTGACCAAATATATAATCTGTACCAAGTTCCAGCTTTCTATCTTCAAAAACACGAGTTGGGTCAAAGTTGGGTCATTTCCGATCGTTCAGTTATATGGCAGCTATAGGATATAGTCAGCCGATCCTTACGAAATTTAGCATGTCGTATTATTTTGCCAAAAATAGCTCTCACCTAAAATTTGAACTCTCTAACTTTAAAAACACCAAAGTTATACCATTTCCGATCAATCAGTTATATGGCAGCTATAGGATATAGTCGGCCGATCCGGGCCGTTCCGACTTATATACTGCGTGCAAAGGAAAGAAGGGTGTGTGCAAAGTTTCAAGACGATAGCTTTAAAACTGAGAGACTAGTTCGCGTAGAAACAGACAGACGGACAGACAGACGGACAGACAGACGGACAGACGGACAGACGGACATGCTCATATCAACTCAGGAGGTGATCCTGATCAAGAATATATATACTTTATAGGGTCGGAGATGTCTCCTTCACTGCGTTGCACACTTTTGACCAAAATTATAATACCCTCTGCAAGGGTATAATTAATATTAATACCCGGTACTGGAGATTATGTTTCCTTTAATTTTTAAATATTTAAAACAGGGAGTTATATAGAACTTTAATTGGAGAAATATTAAAAATATAATACCTGATACTGAAGCGTAAAGTTATTAGTTTCCTTAAAAATATCAATATTTTATAGAGTATTTAAAGCTATAAGCTCACAAACTCTATTTTTATATCTTGATCAATAATATTTACTACGAATGTTCTTTCTAGAATATATATTAAATAATAATATATAAAACTGAAACTAAAACAAAAAAAATATATCTAAATATATATAAATATATATATCACCTTTATTTGGTAAATTTTATAATGAAGAATTTCTTTATAATCCTGAAGAATTCGTAAACCTCTTCCATACAAAAGCTATTTAAAAGTAAAGTTTAGATAGCATTGGAATGATTATAAACAAAATATTAATACCTGGTACTACCTTAGGGTTGTTTTTCCTTCAGAATCCTTTATAAACTAGACAATACTATACCACTATGCTAGACAATATTGTTATCCTACGTACATATAGGATTAAAGTAGGATTTGAAGAAATATATGTACTTATAGGCTTATAGTACTATAGGGTATAAAATAGTACATAGGGTATGAATATACATAAACCCAAAAATACTAAGGGGTGTGAGAAATATAGTGATAGTGATATATAGTGAAAATATAGTGAGAATAGTATAGTAAAAACTCCTATATAGTGAGAAAAACAGAAGAAAGAGGTATTTTCTCTGAAAAAAAGGCTTGAATATTAGAAAAAAAGGCTACTTTTGAAAATTAGTTAATATTAGTTTAATATTTTTGTTTTTATAATATTAGTTCCTCAGTTTTTATCCTTTGTTTATCATTTTAATACCGTTTTAATCTTTTTATCTGAATTTAAAAATGTTTCCCCTTAAAAACATATATTTTCCACCTCTAAGAAATATATAAATATAATATTTCATCATAAAATAATATATTTATCAGATTATAATTTAGGCCACTTATTCTTATCATTTTTTTTAGAGTTAGATTTTTTTCTTCAAAAAATTAAACATGTTTTATTAAAGTCAACTTTCTTAAACAGATTTTTATACAGTATGGACTTAGTATCTATAGATATGAGTGGATTATATAATAAATTAAATAATATTTCATAGTATGACTTTCCCTATTTTTTGGATTTAGAAATTTTTAAATTTAAAAAATTCCAAAAATGAGTATTAGAAAGAAAATTAGAAAAACAGTCTGGAAACAGTCTTAAAACTAAATATAAATTCTAAAACTAAATTCTAAAACTAAAACCTAAATACTTCTCCAATTAAAGTCAAAATTTATGATAATATCGTATACCTTAGTATATAAACAGACTTGAGATTATTCTAAAACAAAAAATAGATATAGTATTTGGACGTAAATTTGGTCTTTTTTTTAAAGAGTATATAGTTTTTTTTTAGTTTTAAGAACAAAAGTTCAACCTTGTAGGAGTTAGAGGGGAATGGGAACCTAAATGCGAATGGAGCGCATGGGTGGCGGTGGGGGATTGGAGGAGGCACTACGTTTCGACTTGTGGCAGACTTCCAGGCGTAGCCTTTTGGATTGCGAGGTCTTTCGATCATCTTGCTCCTCCCGCAGGTCCTCCTCCTGGGGAGGGTCCTGCAGTCTGGACATCTCCAGATGTTGCTTTTCCCTTAAGAAGCTATTCTGTCGATGGACCAAAGCTCCTCTATTACTGCCACTGGGCGGTAGAGATCCCAGGAAACAATTCTGACGATATACCGGCACTGGCTCATAGTCCACATCCTGATCCTCGTCGTCCTCCACATCGCTATCCGGCTGCTCGGTGGGACGCTTGCGTTTCATGGAGTGGCTCTCCTGGGAGTGACTGCGACGGAGACGCTGGAAATCGTAGCGCAGATGGAAGGTGATCTCCGGGCAGGGGAAGAGCAGCAGGAAGTACTCCAGTAGATGGGCCTCGAACACATAACCCTGACCGTTGGTCAGGATCAGGGCATCTCTATCCTGTTCCGAAATTCCAAAGCGATTCATGGCTGGGGATATGAAAGGGATGGGGGATCTTAGGAATGCACTCCAGTTTCCGTTAGAGAAGGTTTCGGTGTTGACTCACCTTGAGAGATGACCTCTTCGTAGTTATTGGCATTCTCGCAGATAATAAAGTTGGTCTCTCCTTGGAAAAGGATCTTCAGGCACGACTTGATAGAATGCATTTTTTATAAATTTAATTTAATTTATTTTATAATTTATGAGTATTTATTTCTTGGACAAAAAATTGCAATAATTCTTAATATAATGCAAAAATCGGAAGAGAGTATTATTTCACGTCTTTTCACTTCGCTGGCGAGAAAAAAAATAAAAGAGTCCCGCCGTCGGCGTTGGGTTATATAGGGTTTTGTTCCATATCTCTTTCCTTTTTCCCTTTCCTTTTTTTTTTGTTTTCTGCCTGCAGCTGCATGCCTTTCTTGGGGTTATTGTTGCCTTTTCTAGCCTAGGTAAGCGAGGGTAGCCGGGGGTTGTAGGCCCTCTTTTTCTCACTTGCATGAAAAGGTAAAAGGCCATGGAGAGAGCCTCTCTCCAGCTCTCTCTCTCTCTCGACCCAATCTCTCTTATTACTCATTCAGTCGGACTGAACTGAATGGTGGGCCCGACAAACGCGTTGCTGCATGTCGCGTGCTATTGTGACGTCATGATCGCCAATTAGGGTGACACGAATTAAGTTCTATGGTGAAATACCTTCCCCAAGTTGGACCATAACTAGTCAACACATACATATATTAAAAAAAAATATATATATATGTATACATATGTATTTACTTTTATTATAAAAATATCCTATAAGTTAATTTTTTTTAAATTTTATTTAATATTTACAACTTTTATAATATATCAATGATATATTAAAATAAAACTTTCAAGTGGGAATATCCCATATAGCCCCATATGATCCCGAGGGAAGGCTATATCTTTGCCAATTTTCATCCGATTCTTATGGGGGGTATCTTAAAAGATTTGTAATTCAATTCTCCATCAACCTGCATCAAAATCTGGAAGCAAGAAATTTTTGAGATTTTTTGTCCAATTTTCCAGGGGGTCCCCTTCAAAAATCACGAAAATGCATGGATGCCCCATTTGACCCCGATGTAAGGCTATATCTTTGCCAATTCCCATCCGATTCCATTGGGGGATATCTTAAACGATTTGTAGATCGATTCTCCATCAATCTGGATCAAAATCTGGGAGTAAGAAATTTTTGAGATTTTTTGTCCAATTTTCCAGGGGGTCCCCTTCAAAAATCACGAAAATGCATGGATGCCCCATTTGACCCCGATGTAAGGCTATATCTTTGCCAATTCCCATCCGATTCCATTGGGTGATATCTTAAACGATTTGTAGATCGATTCTCCATCAATCTGAATCAAAATCTGGGAGTAAGAAATTTTTGAGATTTTTTGTCCAATTTTCCAGGGGGTCCCCTTCAAAAATCACGAAAATGCATGGATGCACCATTTGACCCCGATGGAAGGCTATATATTTGCCAATTTTCATCCGATTCTTATGGGGGGTATCTTAAAAGATTTGTAATTCAATTCTCCATCAATCTGCATCAAAATCTGGGAGCAAGAAATTTTTGAGATTTTTTGTCCAATTTTCCAGGGGGTCCCCTTCAAAAATCACGAAAATGCATGGATGCCCCATTTGACCCCGATGTAAGGCTATATCTTTGCCAATTCCCATCCGATTCCATTGGGGGATATCTTAAACGATTTGTAGATCGATTCTCCATCAATCTGGATCAAAATCTGGGAGTAAGAAATTTTTGAGATTTTTTGTCCAATTTTCCAGGGGGTCCCCTTCAAAAATCACGAAAATGCATGGATGCCCCATTTGACCCCGATGTAAGGCTATATCTTTGCCAATTCCCATCCGATTCCATTGGGTGATATCTTAAACGATTTGTAGATCGATTCTCCATCAATCTGCATCAAAATCTGGGTGTAAGAAATTTTTGAGATTTTTTGTCCAATTTTCCAGGGGGTCCCCTTCAAAAATCACGAAAATGCATGGATGCCCCATATGATCCCGATGGAAGGCCATATCATTGCCAATTTCCATCCGATTCTTATGGGGGGTATCTTAAAAGATTTGTAATTCGATTCTCCATCAATCTGCATCAAAATCTGGGAGTAAGAAATTTTTGAGATTTTTTGTCCAATTTTCCAAAGGGTCCCCTTTAAAAATCACGAAAATGCATGGATGCCCCATTTGACCCCGATGGAAGGCTATATCTTTGCCAATTTCCATTCGATTCTCATGAGGGATATCTTAAATGATTTGTGGATGAATTCTCTTTTAATCTTAATTATAATTTCATAACCATATTTTCGATCGATTTTTTCCAAATTTTTTAATGAAAACCCTTGGAGTATTGGGGATTTAAACATAACACTCCCATATCTTTCCCATTTTTCATCCGATTCTGAAGCGGAACACCTTAAACGATAAAGTGCACCATTAACCGAGAGAAATAGAAATAAATACAAATTCCAAAATGTCAATTGCAGCAGGAGGAGTACTCCGGAGCACCCGTCCAATGCCTGATCCCAGGCACCAATCAGTGGGCCCTCATCGGGGTATCGTCGTGGAGGATCGCGTGTGGACCGACGGGCGTGGAGAGGCCCAGGATGTATGACAAGATTGCCTCGAATGCCGCCTGGATACGCGAGACGATCAATGCGGTGTAGTCGCCGGAAGAGTCCACAGGATATATATACATATGTATATGATAGCATTTTTGTGTAAAAAAAAAACGGAACCAATCCTACATGGGTATTACGATTGTAAAAAAATAATATATCGAGAGGAGGAGATGGATAACCACTTAAAAGCGTAACACTAACCTGTCCTAAATGTTACTCGATGCCCTAACTCCAATCTATTCTTAAAAAAAACGTATACATTTTTTTTTGCTGTTTTGTGTAATATTTATTAACTATGTTTTAATTTTATGTTTAAAAAGAAAAGAAAAAGGAAGCACATTTTAGTTGTTAGACAAATTTAGATATTTAGCTGTTTTGTAGAAAGATATTGTTGAATAAAATAAAATCGCCTAAAATATATATTTGGCTTTGTGATGCATTTTTTTTGGCATAAAAAATTAAGGAATATTTGTATATCTTTTTTTTTAAGTGGAAACATGCATGGACTCCCATTTTCCATTATCCTGAAGGCGATATTGTACTCGATCGGCGATTTCTCCACGTCCTACCTTCAAGAAATCCCATCTTTGTGGTTCAAACTTAAATGCAGTACTAAAAATAAATAATTTTATATTATTATTTTAAAAATAAACATTTTTCTTAAAACTTACTAAGATCTGGGTCTCTCTAAAGCCTTGCCACTGGCCAAGTGTTCCTCCAGGAACTTGTCATGCTTGGCCTTCAAGTCATCATGGTTGATGGGCTCACCGCACGGGCATATATATCCTCGTATCTGGGACACCAGCTCCTCCTTAGCCCACAGGGCATCCATTTCCGAGTCGGGTAATTCCACAGCCTTGGCTCCAATCAGGCGCACCTGCCAGGTAACCTCCTTGTAGTCATTATCCTGGACATTGGTCATGTAGAAAGTAATCCCAGCCTTGGGATTAGCTTGTAAGTTCTTGAAATTCCTTGTATAGCGATGGGTTATGTAGAAGGGGTAGTTATCCGGTGTTAGGCCACGATAGATGACCGTACGATTGAGGACACCGAATTCCTCGTCCAAGGTGGCCAGGTTCATGTCCACCACGACACTGTCGGGATGACTTTTGGCGTCGGCTTGAAGGATTTGTTTAAACATATCCACCGGATTGGCGGGATAGTTGGTAATTTTTGCCAAAGCTGACGTCATTCTGTAATTTAAATAATTTTTTAAAATCATTGAAAGATAAATCAAAAACAAAAATAACAGAAAATTCAAAATCTCCCGCCCTTCTGGCTTCTGTTAACCGCCAGCTGTTCTGTTAAGTAGCAGTAGCGCCTTTACCAACACTACTATGTGACCAGTCGTAACAGCTGTCTGGTAATTGGCTGCTTGGCCCCTCTGGCCATACTGGCCAAGACGCGACTGAACCGACCAAAAAAAAAAAAACCAAAAAAAAAACGAAAGAGGAGAGGAGCCGCTCAGCTGGGGCCGAAAACAGGGAAAACAGCCGCTGCGGAGGAGCATGACGTCCATACTGGACATGAAGGCCGGCCCGCCCGACTACTGGGCGGAAATTGGTAACTTCTTCCTGCCGCTAAAGGTCCTGATCACCAACGACCGTTTCGACGCCCTCGTGCGGGACATCGACCTATATTACCTGATCAACGGTGTCTTTTGGATATTTGTGGCACTGTCCTGCGGCTTCTGTGGCTTCCAGCGGCTCTTTCAGGTTCGTATCCCCCAACACCAACACCAACACACACGCACACACACCACCACTGAGTATCAAACACCACGTCTGGGCCAAAATCAGACACCTTCGGTAGCGGCTTGCACTTTTCATTTGAGGGCTGCTCGGCCAAAATCGTGTTTATAAATAAACAGAGCGAGCACAGGGGCGGAACGGGGCCGGTCGAGGGGTTCCCCGGAATGTGCGCTAGGTCAAGTGCTAACATTTAGTAGTAAGTACTAAACTAATAGCGACTAAACAAAAAGCGGGTTGTAGTATTATTTTTTAAGAAATTATAGAAAGGTTGACCCATTTGGAAACTTCTTAAAAGGCTACATTATAGACTATTATTACATTATAGACTTATAAGGTTGTGTTTCTTATATTAATTATATATTAGACCTTTAAATTTATATTTTTTTATTTGGAAAGAAACTACAATAATTATAAAAAATTTTTAAGTCTTTTTTCAGACTTTCGAAGCGGAAAACATTGTTTTTTTTCTAATACTTGTCTTAAAAATACTTCAAAAATAACTCAAAAACAAGATATACTAGCTACGAGAGTATGTATTTTATTTTTTGGTAGATATTAGAGATTTTAAACTAATATTTGATATTTAGATTATTATTTAAAAATCAATTATAATTGTTTTTTGAACTTAAAGTTGAGTTTCTGTGTAAAACTTTCATATATTTTTAAATACTAAAGATTTTAACAAAGTAATAACACTTATAACTTATAGAAATAAGTTAAAAGAATATAATTTTCAAAAATAATTAGGTAGGTAGCCTCTTTTCAAAGCCTTAAACTATAATTTGTACCAATTTCTAAATGACTATAGAGCCTTTTCTTAACCTTAAATAGAAAAATTTAAAGGAACTTTTATTTAAAAGTTGAGTTTTTATAAACTTTTTATTTAACTTTTATTTTTTAATAATCTTAAATATTGAAAATCAGGCCTTAGGGTAATCAGAAATAATCGTCTGTACTCGAATATATGAGAAGTTTTCTAAATGAGGCATTAAAAACATTTAAGATTTTAAATATTATAAATAATATGATTTAAAAAAACCAGAAAATATCTGAAAAATAGTATAAATACTTGAAATACTTACTTTTCTCTATTAAGTTCCCTTAAACTTTTTAAAACCCAAAAGAATTCAACAAATTTCGTTTAAAAAAATTCACTTTATTTCCAAAAATCAAAAAAAAAATATTTTCAAACCAAAGACATATTCCTTGGTTCGCTGACCTCAAGAAACCTCCTGCTTCCCTCGGTTCTGCGAACCGGCCCTGGAATCCGGCGATTAGCATTATGATTCTCGACCGCTGACCAAACTGACCGGACACCACCCCACTATCTGTAACGACCCATGGCGACGTCGAGACCAATGCTCCAATGTCTAATTACCTCTCATGTATAACTCGCCATACCACCACCATCCAATCTCATCCAGCAATGTAATGAAACCCCCCATTGTCTAATCTCGGGGATTGTTTTTTTTTTTTCTTAAAGTTCTTTCTGAAATCATCGAATATGAAGTACTTCAAACGAAGGCAATTCGCGCGATTGATTTGGAATATTGCCTTTTATGCGGCCAGTTGTTTATTTTTGTATTTCTACAACGAGTTCATGATCCTGCCGCAACTGATGAAGAACCAGGGACGATATTCCCTATTCTACTCCTCGGATAATCTGATATTCTATCGATCGCATCAGACGGAAAAGTTTCAATTTTATTCAATATTTATTATAACATTTTACCTGCACGGAGCAATGTTGGACTTTAAAGAGGCCGATTTTCTGGAGGTGGGCTCCAAGGCGCTCTACCTGTTGGCCCTGGTGGCAATCGATGTTTACAGGTAAGCTTTCGTGGAGGATTCGGATGGATGGATTTAAGGGACTTAATCGTGTCTCATCCTGTGTAGATATGAGAACTATTTTGTTGGCCTGAATCTAACCGTGGGATTGTATAGCATTCTCACCGAGGTGCTGGCCCTACTGGTGCTACCCAGTACGAATCGACATCGATTCATCTACCAGATCTTCCTGGGCCTAAGGATAGCGGCGTGGGCTCATGTTTTTGTTAATTTGCTGCCTTTTAAGTATTTTATACCCACACTGTTTGCAAAGAATTTTAAGTTGCCACTGAATGTGGCAATATGGTTGTGGTATGGCCTATCCATTTGGAATTCGCCAGTGTTGCAATATTTTTATCATCAGATCTATCATACCACACCGTCGGATTGTTCGGGTGAGGGTTCAGCAGCCAGGTAAGTTAATGGTTTTATTTTTCTAATATATCTTAAAAGATCTTTCGATCCTCCTCTTTTTATTTTAGATGCATCTTGGTTAAGGACTCTGTAGAGTTCCGTCACTTCAAGACCTTGAAGAAGGCCTATTTGGAGGTGAAGTTGGCCCATGAGAAGACCAATGCCAATTCATTGCCCTCCGGAGAGACCAGTTCAGCCTCAGCCAAGACCTTCCAGGCCATTAAATGTGAGGATTATTTTTAATCATAATATTTTTTAAAATAATTTTTATGCTATCTTTTTTTTAGGCGTCATGATGTTGAAACGGAAATTGAAACGTATCCGTGAGGGACGTGGCCATGAGCCGGAGGATGAGAACGAGGACCTCACCAGCGATGCCTAAAGACCTACATGAAGACCTAGACCTCGTTAAAAAAACAAAAACACGTAGACATTACATTTCCTTAAACCAAAAAAGACACAAGTTCCGCTTAGGCTATAAAAAAAAATAAGAAAAGAAAAGAAATCACTACGAAGAAACTACCTCCCACTTTGCTAAATTGTAGTGCCCTCTCACTCTCTCTCTATATCTATCTCACTTCAACAATGTATCTCTCTATCTCTCTCGCTTTCTGTACAAGTTTATGCGTGTCCATGAAGTGCATTTTGAAAATCAAATTTGAGGCTAAAAATCAAAAATAATCTCTTAGATTTTTCTTAAATTGTAAGTTTTATTTTTTCCGATTTTCAAACATAATTCAAAATGCACTTTAATTAATTAATTAGCTAAATATTATAAATATTAGATATTTTAATCAAAACGAAAAAAAAACACGCATAAACTTAGAAAAACTTAGAAAAAATTGTAATCTTAAATTAAAAATAAATTATAGATTGCCGCCTTGGCTGATAAGGATATAGATGGACTATATCTATTACTGTCTCCTTCGCACACCACCACACACCCAAAACACACAACAGTCTCTCTCCTTTTTTTTTTTTTTTAGATTTGTAAGTCGCCTTCAACTTATTGTTGTTGTTTATTCGCTGTGACTTAATGACATATTTGAAATATTGTAATGTGTTTCTTTTTTTTTTTCATTCGTTCTTTTTAATTGAAATATACTATATATGGGCTAAACGAGCGCAATTGAAATGTGTGTGTTGTGTATGTTTTTTTTTTTAGGGGGGGGGGTCTCTTTTTATGTATTATGTACTGGAGTTGTTTTTTGCCTCGGTTTTTCTTTTTTTGCTTATCTTAACTTTTGGGTTTTTTTCCATCTTGAAATATTTTTGTTTGTTTATTCTTTTTTTCGCTTTATTGATATTTTTGAAAAGAGTTGGTTTTTCTATTTGAATTTTGGGGTTTCCCATTTTGTTCTTCGATGGCTAATAATCCTTGCAATTGGTTTTAGTATTGTTGGTATTTTTAGAAATATAAGAACTAAGGGTTTTAGATTTTTAAAATAAATATAAATATGCTTGAATAATACAAAACTAATAATACCTTTTTTTTTAAATATTCCTTGGGTTCATTTTTAAATGCAATATTTTATATACTTTATTTAAAGTTCCTTAAAATTATGCTGTAGAAAATATATATATTTTATATAATAATTCTTGAGGCTTCATACAGAAAATGTTGTTACAAAAAATTGTTTAGAAATTAAAAAAAAATATATTTCAAATTAATTGGAATTTCGAACTTTTAACTCTAAAAGTAGAACAAAATTAGGCACAAATAATAGCTTTTAATTGTTTTTTGAATGCATTTTCTTGAAAAAAATAAAAATTCTTAATTTTTGTTAACTGTTTATTAATTTTTAAATAATTTAAAACTAATTTTAAAATAAAAAATTTAAATTTCAAGTTCATATTGAATTTTAAGAAACCAAAGCATATGTTATTCAATTATTTTTAAATTTATTAACAGAAGTAAGTTAAAAAAAAGCTTAAAAATCTCCTATTACCAATTTTTGTCTGTTGCCTACACTGTGAACAATTGCAAGGTTATTTCAATATCAATTTCTTTTCCTCCCCATGTTAACATAGTTTCTTGGTTTATTTTTTCATTTTTTGGTTTGGGGCATTTCCTCTATCCATTCATTTTGCTTTCTTTTTAAAAATTGTCACACTAGAAGCTAGCCATTTCTTTAATTTTATTTATAATTTCCTTTGTTTTTGTTTATTTTTTGGGGTGTTGTCTTATCTTGTGGTTTTTTTTGTTCTTAGATTTAATTTTAAACTTTCTTTGTTTTTTGGTTTTTTTGTTGGTTTTCGGCCAATTGTTGTTGCTTATTTTTTGTTTTTAGAAAATGTTTCTTGTGTGTTTTTTTTTTGTTTTTATTTTCGTGACGAACAAATTTTTTACGTGCCGCGAAATATATTTTTTGTTTATTTATTTAATTTTACTTTTTGGTGAATGCGCCTTTTGCCCTTGGCATTGAGCAAAAAAAAAAATTCTCTATTTTTTTACATTTATTTTTTCTCATTTTTTTTTTAGATCCTATAATTTTATAGTTTTTTTTCCTCTGGTTGTTTAAATACTTTTTTTTGCTCAATTTTTTTTTGGGCTTTGGTTTTTCTTTCCTTAAATTTAAATTCAATTTAATTCGTTTTTGTTTTTCGTTTTCTTGTTCTTTTTTTCCAACAATTTTACTAAATTTTTTTTCATCAACAATTTTTTGAAATTTACTGTTTTTGTTGCTCTCCTTTGTCTCAATTTGTATGTTAATTTTAATGTTAATGTTAATTTTTAATTTTACTATTAAATGTATGCTTTAAAATTAGTGTTAGTTGTTCGGCTTAAACGCGTTTTAAACGTTTTTCTTTTTCTTTGTTAAAGGTACGTTCTAAAAAAAAATGTCTTTTTATCTTGTTTAAATTTTAGTTTTTAGGTTTTTTTTCGTTCTATTTATTTATATTTTATTTTGTTTTCTTTGTTTATGTATAAACTTTTTTTTTGTGTGTAGCTCACAATTATATTTATTTTGTTTTTGTGGCAAACGTATTCCATTTCAATACAGTTTTTTTTTTCAGGTTCGTTTGCTGTTAACCCCCTTGACCTTTGACCCCTTTTCTTGGCTTGTTCTAGTTGGTTTTGCCTTTTTAAAAAATATCTCTTCCCACCCACAGTATTTTGTGTCTCAAAGTTTGTTCCAATTTTTCATATTTGCCTGCTTGATTTCCTTATAATTCTTTTTTTTTTTAATGTCTAGTGATATATACGACACAAAATTTCACTTTCATACAAATACTATGTTGTGGGAGCCGAGTTATGGGGTGTTATTTTTTATTGGAAATATTTTATTTTATATTTATTTATTATTTATTCCTGTGAAACCTTAGAGGTTCATTTTATTTGTGCTAAATAGAATAATAAGATGATTTTTTAATAAGATGAAAATTAATTTTCTCGGCTTTTTCTATTAATACAATCTCATTTACTCTTATACACTCTTATTGAAATTAAATATCAATTATAAAAAAAAAGATTGAAATAAAATTTGGTGCTTTTTTCGGCAAAACAATCATTTGCACTTGTCGCCATAAACCAAAAAAAAACTTTCCAAATGGAATCAAATTCAAATTAGCCAAAAATTCCCGCCTTAGTGGCGACCAGAGGAGGCCCAGAGGAGGCTTGGGGGGCGTGGTCCGATAATGAGCGTGCTGAAAATGTGCAGCTTCCACAACAACAACAATAACAATTCAAATATAATGAATGAAATTATGTTGAAAACATATTTTTCCTCCACAAAACACAAAAAGGCAACTTCCTCCAAAGCTTCTCAACACCAAAAAAAAACAAAAAACACCAAAAATTCCTCAACAAACTTTGTCCTCCTGACCAGGATTCTATTATTTTTTTTTTTGGGGGCTAGGGAGAAAAAAGGGAGGCTGTTTTCCTATTAGCAAGCAATAAATTCTGGCAAGTCGCCTCTATTGAGCCGAAAGGTGGGCGAGAACAGGACCAGAAACATAGATACCACATTAAAAGTCCTTTACACATAGAGAAAAATATTTAAAAAAATTAGGAGAAATTCTAAACAATTAGAAAAATATTTTCAAAGTATGCTGGGCTTTTCAAAAACAAAAATTTCTCTAAAAAGACTAAAGCTTTAATATTTAAAACCAATAAAAGTTTGAAATAGATTTGGAAAAATTAAAGAAAATTTTGAAACTATTTATTTAAAAGCTTAACATTTATTTTGTTGATTTAAAATAAGTTAAAATAAGTTCAAAATTTTGAAACTATTTATTTAAAAGCTTAAAATTTATTTTGTCGATTTAAAATAAATTAAAGTATGAGGAACCATTATTTTTGTTAAAAATTTGCAATTTCTTAAACATGTACATACATATTAACAAAAGCTTAAATTGGATTATTAAAATGAAATAAAATTATGGAGTATAAAGCTTAAAATATTAAAAAAAGAAATGTATAAAATTCTTATGTTTAGAATTTAGAGAACAATTTTTTCTATCAACATTTTTAGCAACAAATATTTCTCCAAGTGCCTTGACCAAAAAACATCCTGGAAAGAGGATGGGGCGGAAAATGGGAAACTGCTGGAGGAGCCATTAAATAGCGGCTGCCTGCCTGGTGGAAAATGTCGCCCAAGGGTGTAAACTTCAGACCCCCCCGTTCACCCACTCCCCACCCACTAAGAAACCGGAAAAAAGGGAGTGAGTAAAAGAGGCGGTGCAAGGGCGTGGCCGTGAGGGGACGTTAGAAAGATAGAAGAGATGTGTTAGTGATGGTGGGGCGGGGGCATGAGGGGAGAAATATAGCCCCAAGAAGCGACTGTTTCGACCGGTAAAGCGACCATAACTTTATGATTGCTTTTGTATTGCCCGCTGCGTATTGGGCCCAAAAAACGCGACATTCGGGCCGAGAGAGATAAAATCAACAGTTCCCAGCTAGAAGGCTACAGTGGGAAATGGCCAATGATGGACACATCCGGTTAATATGGGAAACACTTTTTGGAAATCGCTTTATTTAAAAGAAAAATGTTAATTGGAAAGCATTTGAAGCCATCCATGGGAAGGAGTATAAAATGACGTGGCTGTTGTTGGGCTCTTTATCTCGCGCTGATCTGCCTTTACCGGCATTTTTAAGAGCAGGCAATGGCCGCTGCACTTGCGCTCCCTTTCACACCTGCTCTGCCTCCCACACCTGCTCTGCCTTCATTGGCGCTTTTAAGCGATAGAAGATGGCTGCACTGGCGCTCTCATTATCACCCACTCTTTTACTGCCTGCCATTTTAGTTCTCTCTTAAGAGCAAGCAATGCGCCCGCTGCACCTGCGCTCCCTTTCACACCTGATCTGCCTCCCACACCTACGCTGCTTTTATTGGCGCTTTTAAGCGATAGAAGATGGCTGCACTGGCGCTCTCATTACCACCCTCTCTGTAGGCAGTGCCTGCAATTTCGGTCCAGACTCTTAAGAGCGAGCCCGCTGCACCTGCGCTCGCTCTAATACCTGCTCTCCCACTTCTGCCTCTGCCGGCGCAGTCGGCTTATTGGGGTTCTCTTCTCATTTGGTGCATCCCTCGTGGAATTGCCATTCGCGCACAAGTGCTCCTGGGCTTCGGTTGGAAAAGTGATCGCGGAAGTTTAAAGTGTTTAATTAATTATTATAAAGTGTTAATATTTAATTAGTTGGTGTTAGTTAGTGTTTTTTAATGGCTATATAAGAGTGCTTTGAAAAATGACCCACTAGCTCGCGTGTGTGTATATTTGTGTTACAAAATGGCGGACATACGAAGCCCACGAGCTGCCCCAAGCGGGGAACCGTTATCTGAGGACCAAAAATCACATGAGAAAGAGTGGAAAAGAAGGGAAATGAAAAATGAAGTTTAACTAATGAAAGTACAGTAAAGCAGGTAAGTTTAACTATGATTTTGTTTTTAAGAAAACATGTTGCATTATATATTTATTAAATTAAAAACATAATTTAAAAAAGAAGTTAAAAAAATAACGTTTAAAGCATAGAACAAAAGTCGTATATTTCCCCTTTCCTGCAAGAAAAGTTCCATACCTTAGAGTCTCCACTGTAATTACATTAGGGCTCCCAAAAGTGAAAACAAACAAACGAAGCCTCTTAACAGCGCCACCTATTGGAGCCATCCCCCCCCCCCCCTTTTCAACTCTCAGATTGGTCAAATACTACAACAACAACAACAAAAAAACGGGAAAATATAATTAAAAGAAAAACAACAACCAAGGGAGAGACAATCACAACAACAGCAATAGGCAACAAAAACAAAGAGTGAGCTAATGTCCTTTTTGTGTGAGTGTGAGTGTGTGTGTGTGTGGCCACAGAGTTTTGTGGCAGTTTCCCACCCCCCTTGATTCGTCTTAGTTGTTGTGTGCCCGCAACAATTATGATTTGCGGTCTTCTATCTCCCCACCCATTCCCATCCTATTTCCCATTCCCATCCAGGACTTCCATGCTCTCCCCAGGAATTCTTCTTCTTAATTGTGGTGGAGAGGGAGTTTCTAAGAGATTCGAAATGATTTTTGGGTGATTTTTTAAGAGAGAAACTATTAAATATTGGAATATATTAAACCAGAATTAGAATTAAAAAAAAGAAAGAAAAAATATATTTATTTTAAGCTTCCAAGTGTCTGTTTGCTGGAATCTCCTGAACTGCTGAAATTTGTGTGCTTTTTATATCCCGAACAGGATTCTGTTGACATCGTCATGCCACATCCTGGTCCCCGCTTCGTCTCCCCCAACCCCGCAGCCATCCCCAGCCATCACATCCACAGCATATCCTTGCATCCTTGCATCTTCAGATATAATATTTCGTTAATGGCTTTTCATTCTGTGTGCACTTCTTCCACCCACCCCCTTCTCCACATCTCCCCATCTCACTATCGCTCCATCTCTCCACCTCTAGCTTGCACTCTTCTCTTCCTGCTCATCCTGCTCTCTTGCACTCCTTCTCGTCCTGCTCTCCACTTGCATTTCATTTAATTAAAAACTGAAAAAGTGTGTGTGTGTGTGTGTGTCAGTGTGTGTCTGATACGGGAGGCGGTAGGTGTGGCAAGAAAAATTGCAGTGCGGTGACTGTGATTGACACTTGTTATTGTTGTTGGCTTTGTTATTGCTCCTCCTCCTCCTCCTTGTTGTTGTTGTTATTGCTGCTGCTGGCTTTTGATAATTCAAAAACAGGCGACAAGATTTTCAAAAGTGGTTTTCAAAAATAAAAAAACATTTTGATTAAAAAATAGTTAATGATTTTATAATATGAAAAAATGTTGAGCTTGTTATGTATTTCTTAGAATTTTTTTCTGAAAAAATTAAAAATTTCAAAAGATTTTCCCAAAAATTTTACAAAAAATAGATTAAAATAATTGATTAAGATCTATATTTAAAACTTAACATTTTTTGTATTAAAAATATTAGGGTAAAGTCTAAAAAAGTTAAATATTTATTTTCTTGAATTTATCAATAGTTTTCTTAAAGAGTATTTTTTTGAAAAACTTAAAAAAAAATATTGTTTAGATTTTAATTTTTAAATAATTTTTTTCTTTATAAATTAATCAATTATTATAATTTTAAATAAATTATTTCCTATAATTGAATAAATAAATTAAAATTTCCCTCTTATAAGCCCCAGCAGAAGACTAACGAAACCTTTGTCGCCTGTTCGCTGTTAGCTGCCTTAGGCTCTGTTAAAATTTCCCTTGCCTAACAGAGCTGTTAGAACGGCCTCCCAAATACGTTTTTGAAACAAAAACAAAAATAAAGTCTGTCCTGATGTGGCATATATATATTTTGATATTGGGGGTTATTTCCTGGCCGATGTTCTTTTTTTTTTTTTTTGGTTTTTGTTTTTCTGGCGGCTCTTAATTAGGCATTGATTTTATGAAACGAGATGCTGAAAATAAAGAAACTTTCTCCAGGTAAGTCCTTTTTTTTATGAATTATTCTTTTGTTTTTGTATTAAAAATTATAAAAATTATCATAAATTATGAGAGAAAATCGGCGTTTGCACGAAAATTGAATTTAAATTTCGAATGGTGATTATTTACTAAGTGGGACACACATGTGCACTAAAACACATACTAAGACACATACTAAGACACACACTAGTACACACTCTGGCACGTCTCTTGGGCATAATAACTAAAGCTTTGTGCTAACTAATTGCCCCAAGGCGAAAATACGACGGGAATTTTCAAATAGATAGGCTATAGGGGGGGGGAGGGTTGGGAGGAAAGGACTCTACTCTTGCTCTCTCTTTCTCTTTGTTTATTTGCACTAATTTGCATGCCTCATTGGCACTCAGACACACTCACACATACTCATAATTATACTCATATTCATATTCATTTATTTTGTACCCCCTTTTTTTTAAATATATTTATTTTTTATATATTTTTTTTTTTCCTTAGCTAACTAATGTTGTGCTTTTCCTTTTTCTTTTTTTTTATTTTTTACGTTATTCCTGTTCAACAAATACAATTATTTTTTTTTTATATTTATTTTATATATAATATTTTTTTTTTTTCTGGCTAGGCTAATTTAATTTCACTAATTTTATTTATTTTTTTTTTCATAAATTGTATTTAATTATCTGTTGCATACTATTTTGCATTTTTTAGTATTTTCTTGTTGTTGTTTTTGTTGTTATTTTTGCCTAGAAAAAAAAAACATTTTTCTTTTTTTAGCATTCTTGTTTTTTTTTTGTTCTTCTGCTTTGTTTAAATATTAGTGTACAAATTAATTATAGTTAGTATACAACAAATACAATTTTTATAGTTATAGTTACTTGGATTCTCCATTTTGGTTATTTTTTTTGTTTTTTTTTTTTTTTGGAACAAGTTTTGGTTTTTTTTTTTTTTAAGAAAAACAAATGCGAATTTCATTCATTATTTTTTTGAAAGGGGGGGGTGAGGGTGGAGGATAGATAGAGGTTAAGAGATAGGGGGTATTAGTAGGATATAATGGGTATAATGGAGCCTTGGTATAATATCCTTGAGGCTTACAACACCGGCCTCACCACATTCGGCTTGGCCGTCGTCGAGGCGATCTCCGAGAGCTTTATGTCGATGGGTACCCGGGTATCGTACAGAGTGGGCGCCTGCAGGATAATGCCAGCGGTCCCAACCACCACCGCTATTGTGAAGATCCACAGGAACAGGCGGTCCAGCACCATGGCCACATATTTCCAGTCCTCTTTCACCTACAAAAAGGAGGGGGAATATTATTATTATTATTATTGGATTTTTAGAGATGATTTTTGGTTAAAAATAAGGAGTTACTTTGTGACTTAGTTACTTACTTATACACTATTTAGTAGCTACTTGTTAGTAGTTCTTTTAAAGCTTTAATTAAAGTAAGTATTGAAGTAATTAAGTAAGTATTATGCTCTTCCTTATCACTTGTCTTTTGAGTTCTAACTAACACCCTTTGAGACTTGTACTCATACTCATTCCCATATACTCATACTCATACTATTCATCTGGAGTTCATACCCCCCCATACCCCCCTCTATATCTAGTCTCCAGTTGCCTGGCAATATGTTCAAGTATGTCCACGCTTCTTCCAACTAATTCCAACCATAGCCATGGCCTCCTTCTCCTTTTGACCTCCTCAGCCCCCTCTAGGCATTCTCTAGGTGTCCTCTGCCTCTTCTTATTTTGCTCCATTGGGGGCGTGGCTTAAATGACACGCCCTTCATGTAAATGCCTCAGCAAGCAGTGGTTTTAGGTGGTGGTTTTGAAGGGGGGTTTACAATAGAGGTTCTTTAATAAATTAAAATTTCAGAGTTTCTATTTAAATGGAATTTAATTAATAGGAAATTAAAGTATTATTAATTATATTATTAAAGATTTATTATACACTTTTTCTGATAAAGAAAAGAATTTGTTTTCACTTGATTAAATTTTAAAATAAGTTTTTATAAGAAAAGGTACCTTTTCTCTCGCACCTTGCAAGGTTTGTTTTTTTAAAGTGCATTTAAAATATTAAAATGGGAAATTTTAAATAGAATTATGTGGGACATAATACAATTGTTTCGTTTTTAATAAATGTTTTAGGGGTTTTAAGGGATTTTTTTAGGGATATAATTTTTGTTGTTTAAAATTGGGAAGTTGTTTAAAATTTTAAATTTTAGTTTAGAGGGCAATGGTACAGATATTTTGTTATTGATTTTTTGTCGTAGAAGCGTAGGGTTCGACTTCGGTTGAAGTAAATTCTAATCATTTTTATTATTATTTTTTTTAATTGTTAGTTTTCCATTTTTTTGGCTCTTTTAATTAAAAATTGTTGAGACTTCCTTATTTTAAATTCTACCATTTTATGTCCCAAGTTTAATTGAAATTTTTAAAATTTAAATTTAAATTAATTTCATATTTTTTTTTAAGAAAATTATTAGTAATTTTTGAGTAATAAAACTATTATATCACTAATTTTCCCTTCTAGAGGTAAAGTTTTCTGCCCCAAGTCCATTGTCCTTTGTCTATTGTCCTTTTGGGATTGCCCTATGGTGCCTCCCTTACTCCCTCTCCCCCTACCCCTTAGGACATTCCAATAATGATTGAATGTGTGCGTAATTTTAATAAAATACTTTTATTGGCATTTTGTTGGATGCCGCAAGAAAACATTCATTATGATGAGAGAACTACAAGAACTATGAGGGTCATCACTAGACACTGAAAAAAATTTATAAAAATTACAAAATAAAAGGGGCTTTTAAAAGTTAAAAGTTGTTGGAAAAATAATGAGTCTCTGTTTAATTTTTTTTTAAATTTTAAAATTTGTGAAAAAAATACTAGTTTTTTTTTGGAAAGTACCTGCTGGCCAGGACATCCCCAGACTTGCTGCTCAATAAGGCGCATGAAAAGTCATTAAAACTTTTGCCGCAGCCCATGGAGACACATATGGAGGCTCCAGGACATGCAGGATGCCATGCAGGACATTGGGACATCAGGACATTGCCTCGCTAAGGTCAACAAAAGGGCAGTGACAGTCGATGGACAAATGAAGCGAAGGACATCATCAACAACTGTGTCCAGGACAAGGTAGTCTCTCCCTCTCTCTTAGTCCAACATCCTGTAGTCCAGTATCCTGTATCGTGTATCCTGTATCCTGGACCATCGATTATTGACCTTCCCAATAAATCCTAGGGCCTAAGGCCGCTCTAATTTATTGCGCCTGGCTTATTAACATCAAAACCCACACACACTGAGAATCCTCTCAGGAGTCTGAGGAGATGTCCTCGCAGTCGTCCTGGCCAAATGTTAAGCGGCTTTGAGGCCACTTGTCCTGCTTCCTTTTCACTTTTCGTTTTTTTTGCCAGACTTTCCTGCCTGCTAGGTTCGAGTACTGCAGTTCTGCGACATTCCTGAAGAGGATTCCTCGAAAAGGACATCTTCCTTTGTCTATTTTTTCTCTATTTCGTGTTATTTTTGAGCAAAACATTGGCCAAATTATAGCCAATTTTTAAATTTGGTAACTAATTGGCATTCTTGGCAGTGAGTTCTATTTTGTTTCTTAATTTTTTCATAAAATATGCTTCGTTTTTTAAGGGAATTTTGTTTTTAAATATCTAATTTCTTTTCCTCTATTTTTTTAAATAAAATAATTAAGAAAAGTTGAAAAAAAAATTGGCCAACTAGTCGTATACTTGATGTACAACACAGGGCGTATGCTTAATATATTAGAAAGTGCCCACAGGTCGTATACTTAATATTGGTATATTTTCCTACTTTTTATGGAAACTAACTCAATTTTTTTTAAAACTTGTACCTGATTTGAAAAAGGCAGACCATTACTGAATAGGAACTCATTATAACCTTCAAATTGCTTGAAAATTTTGATAAAATAAAATAAAAAAATTTTGACTAAATATTTGAAAAAAATCATGAGGTTACCCCTTAGAAAACTTTTGAAAATTTTTTTTAAAAAATTAGAAAAGATAGGTATTGATTGATTATGATAGTTCCCGATGATACAAGTCGCGATCCAAGGTATAACAAGGTATAACATTTGTCTATCGGACGAATATTGACGAAGTTATGGATAGTTAGGGTCGTTAGGGATGTTAGGGACTTTGTGAGGAACCTTTTCCTAAAATGGTCTTTTTTTCATACACTTTTAAGACAATTTATGGGCCATTGTATATCCGATTTGAATATGGAATACCATTCCAGAACCAGGGTTTCAATATCTTTCGAACTGCATTAAAAATCTTGGATTCAAAAAATGTTTACTAAATTTTTGATAAAAATCATGAGGTTACCCCTTAGAAAATTTTCGAAAATTCGGTCAAAATTTTGAAGGATAGATTATGATTGATTATGATAGTACTCAATGATACAAGATCGGGGAGGTATAACATTTGTCTATCGGACAAGTATTAACGAAGTTATCGATAGTTAGGGAGGTTAGGGACGTTGTGAGGGACCTTTTCCCAAAAGGGGAGTTTAAGGTATATATGTATATGTAGATTTAGATCGTATAGATATAGATCGTATAGATATAGATCGTAAAGATATAGAACGTATAGATATAGATCGCATATATATAGATCGTAAAGATATAGAACGTATAGATATAGATCGTATAGATATATATATATATCGTATAGATATGGATCGTATATATCGTATAGATCGTATATATCGTATACCCTTTACCCTTTACGGAGATATAGAGATTTCTTAAAAAAATATTTTTCTTAAAGAAAAGTGTTGAAAAAAGAATAAATCTTTTTAAAAGTGTCTTCGTTCTACGTTTATCAACACTAAGAAAGCACTTTACTTTACAACAGCTGACTTGGGCTTTAAATAGTGTTTATTTTTATGATTATTGGACATATATTTGAAGAAAACCCCGCTGAAAGCACCCCCATAAGTCACCCCCCTTGGCTCTTCTCATCTGGAATACCACAACCACCTGGGAACCCCTCATTCTAGCTCCACTCAGAAGAATTCTTTTGGTATCTGTATCTTAATTTCTAGCTTACATTGAAACACCCACTCACCCTTGTGCTCTCCTCCTCCTTGCGGGTCTGATCCGCTATATAGGTGACCCCGTCCATGGCCTTGTGTAGCTCCGGGCAGGTGTGCCAGCGATGTCGGACATTGCCCCGCCCCGAGCAGCAGTGCGGCCCGCCCTCACGCTGGCAGGCGGGCAGTATATCACAGACGCCGGCCGGCGGTGGCGGTGGCGGCGGAGTACATCCTCCTCCGGCGGATGCCGCGGCTGCTGCTGCTGCTGCGGCGGCTGAAGTGCTTGGACCGCCGGCGGCCACTGCTGCGGCTGCTGCTGCCGCCGCTGCTGCGGATGTGGTGGGTCGCTGTTGTTGTTGCTGTTGTTGCTGTTGCTGGTGGTGATGATGGTGGTGCATTAGGACCTGACCACTCACCTGGTGGTGCAACAATTCCGAGGATTGGCATGCCGCTCCGGCGCCCATGCCCTGATGGATCTGGATGGTGCCGCTGCAGCAGGAATCCGCCAAAGTGGAGGCAGTGGCCACCGAGTTGACCGTTGTCGTTGATTTTATCACATTTGGATTACCCATGGAGACACCGCCACACCCACCAACTCCACCGCCACTGCCCATGCCCATGCCGAGGTCAGAGGTCATGGTGCTGGCATGCGACTGATGGGCGTGCTGGGGGAGTGGCGAAAAGTTGGCCGAACAACTCGACTGCTGCCTGTACAGGTGGTGGCCATAGGTGTTGCTATTGTTGTTGGCATTGTTGGCTCCTCCGCCACTCGATCCACTGCCATTCCCATTGCCCGTCTGGCTGGACGTGGAGGTCATCTGGCGGAACTTGGTGGGCGTCAGTGGGTGGTCCAGCAGCGATCCCCCCGTCTGCTGGTACTGATTGTGGTACTGGGCGTCGATCAGCGACGAGGTGGTCGACGTCTGTTGGTTCACCGTCGATATGGTCGGCGGATATAGTGAGCTCAGGTGGCCCGTAATGGTGGATGCACCACATCCCACTCCGCCACCAACTCCACCCATTCCCATGCCCATGCCGCCCAGGGTGCAGTCGTCCATCAAGTTGAGGTTCTGGACGCGGTGCGCCAGCGGGGAGGTGCTGCGCGAGGTCGTCTTGGGGCTGTGGTGCATGCTGGGGAAATATTTTTTAAAATTAAAAATTTTTTTTTATTATTCGGTTTATTTTTTTGTTTAAACTTTCATGGGATAAATGCTAATTATCACTATATGATACCCATTACTCGTATATATCTCTTTCTAAAAGACTTAACTCTGCTTATGGCTATAATTTATTAAACATTTCTTTTAAAAAAATATTTATTTTACTTAAAAATACTTCAGAATAGAGATCAAGGACCGTTTCTTTAATATATTTCTTAAAAAATTACTTTTCCTTGAAAATTTCTCACAAACTTTTCGATTTTTAAATAGAAATACCTTTTTTTTTAAGAAACCTTTTATATTGAATTTTTTACTATTTATTAAAACAACTTTAAAATTGAATTTTAATATTTAAACCACAGTTATTAAATTATTAAAAAATTTAATATCTTGAGAAATATTATTCTGAGAAAAGGTTACATTTAAAAGCTCTTCTAAAAAACCTAAAAAATTCGTTAAAAAAAGACCTTCTCTATAAATTTCTTAAGAATTAAAAAAAAAGTTTTAAATGAAGTTATTAAAAGTCAGACAAATTTTTAAATCTTAAAAAAGTTACAGAAAATATAATATATTAAAAAATATAAAAGATTAAAAATTTTAATCTATTTAAAGAATGATTTTTTATCTATTTTAAAGAATAATAAAAAAAATTAGCTATTTACAAAAAAAGAAACTTGAAATTAAAGCAATTATATTTAAAGCAATGTTAATTAAATGTAAATTAAAAAAAAAAATTTAACATTAGGGAATTTAAAAGATTCTAAACAGAAAAATTTACTTAAAAAGGGTTCTTTTTTTTAAATACCCTTTCCTAAACCCTAATCCTAAAAAAATGCTATTATATATACATGTATAACCATTCCCAACCTAACCAAATTACTTATAATTGAATTATAACTTGTTAATTAAAACTAACGTAATTAAAGCATTAAAAATTAAAGAAAATATTAAATATTAAAAGGATGGAGAATTAAATATTAAAGGAAATATAAAGGATTCTTAAGAGAAACATTGCTTTGAAATGAATTACATTTTAAAAGAATTGATTTGAAAGTCTATTTTAGATTTAAAAAATCTGAATTTTTTTTAATAATCTTAAAAATGAAAATATCTACACAAAATTAAAAAACCTTAAAAGTAAGCTTATAGTAAGCTTATTAGAAATCCTTACCGCGACAAGGCCACCGGCGGTGGCAGCGGTGGTATTTGATCCCTCAGTTCGAGTCCGTTGCAGGTGCGCACCATCAGTCGGCGCGAGGATTTGCTGTTGGAATTAGTAATGGACCAAAGTGATAGCCATGACATTAGATGGTGCCTGTAGCTAGCTAGATGGGTGTGTCAGAGGAGGGGGAGGGATGGGGGGATTACTTACATCATTTCGCTGATCGGATAGAGGGGACGCCGCATGACGAGGAAACGGGGCAGCTGGTTGATGAACACGGTCCGCACCCAGGGCGCCATCGTGTGAGTTTGCGGCGAACGAAAGTGGATGTTGAGCACTAGCACCGTTACACAAATGCTATATACAGAGAGAGAAAAAAATTGGTATTATTTTTTAATAAAATATTTAAGAAACTACAGATTTTCTTAAAAAGTACCCATGATAGCGCTCTTTAGAGATCTCTAGAGATTTCTTTTGAGACCCCACATTTTCTTTCACTGTATGAGAGTTATCCTGCAAGGACAACAACAACAGCAGCACTGCAAGACAAAAGCAAAAAAAAATAAAAAAAAAAAAGAATGAGTTGCTGGTAGTGAGAACATGCAGAAAGGACTTAAGTGAGTTGCTCTCTTAGTCTGGGTAATTAACTTTCGACGCCCACGTCTAATTAGCAGCTGGCCAAGGATGTTGGTTGGGTGGTCTGTGAGGCTACTGGAACCTGGAATCTGGAACTGGAAGGGGTATCCTGCCAGCCTTAATTACATCATTTGAGGCGAGGTCCTGTTGCGCCACTGGCCATTCCATAGCCATTGTTAGCCAGGACGAGACGGGATGGGATGGGACTTCTCCTCCGTTTTTTTTTTTTTTTGGACTCTTGGTCGACTTTTGTTTACCAACAATTAGGCGGCCATCATTTGGTGTGGCGGTGTGGCGGCCAGCCGCCTTCTGGGCGTGGCAAATGACTGTAAATTGCCGCAACCATTAAATAGGCCGCCCCCGGGGGGTAGCGGGGTGATGATGATAGCGGGGCATCGGGCCAAAAGGCAGGGCGTGGCACTAAGCCAAACAAAGTCCAACCAACAGCTGCCGAATCAAGTTTTATATTCTGCCTTTTTGTTGGCGAAACTTTTTCAAAATATCTACATTTGGTTTTCCTTCAAGAAGTACTTACTTTTTTTTTCTTAGAATTAGGGCTGCTTTTAAAAGAGCCATTTCTTGATTGGCCTTTATTAAGCTTAAACACATAATAGTATAGTTTTGATAGTTTTCAATATAATAGTTTTGATTTGATGAATATTTTAGTGAAAAATCTTAGAAATTGTGATCTTGGAGGAAGCTCTTTTAAGGTCTGTGAAAACTGGCGATGGGCAGATCTTGATGCCATGGCCTTTAAGCTTTTATCGATACTTAGAGCCAATGCTTTTCTTATCGATACATTGTGCCATTTCGACGAGTAATAGCGATGAGCAGATCTTCATGTCATCACGTTCAAACTTTTACCGATATATTTGAGCATCTCTATTATGTGAAACCGATGGCTATTTCTATCGATACATCGTGGCATCTCTATGGCTTAATAGTAATGCACTGTTCTCGATACTATCGCTATTCTTTTTGGTACATCGTGTCATTAATAGCGATGGACATTTTAATCGATTCATCGTGGCATCTCTTTAGCTTGCGAAGGACTTTGCTAGATACTATCGCCATTTTTACCGATACATCGTGCCTTTAACAGCGATGGGCAGATTAGCGATGAAAGTATTAGCGATGGCCTGATCTCCACTTCAAGCCTTTTTCAAAACATCGTGCTTTATTCAATACTGAAGCGGTGTAAGCTTTAAATCTTCTAAGAAGACTTTTATTATTGATCTGGTATAATAAATGTATCTTAGATATAATTATGTATTAAAGAACCCTATAACTACAGTTTAAAAAATATTCAAGATTTTTTAGATCATTATCCCAAAAAAAACCAAACTTTCAACCCAAACCCACTGTTAGGCTTCATATTTAAGCTCAAAAATACTTAAATATATTAACAAATCCTCCTTAAACGCTGTTTGGCTTAAGAAGTGAGAGCGGTATGGGCGGGTATGACTCACCTGAAGGTATCCAGTATCATGGTGAAGAGGACGAACTTTCCCAGGAGCGGCACCACCAGCGATGTGGGCGGAATGATTTCCGCCAAAAGCAGGAAGAACACAGTGAGCGACAGCAGAATGGATATGCTTAATGAGACCTGTGAATATATATATATAGATATAGATATAAGCCAGTGAGTGAGAAACATGGTAAGGCGGAAAAGGGCTGGTGGGTCTGTGGGGAGGGGGCGTGGCAAATTGAGTTGCACGTCGAGCGGAAAATCTAAAGCGCCATAAAGAAGCGACAATTGCGAAAACACCAACAACAACAACAAATACAAGAAGAAGGGCGGAAAACTCCCTTGGTCCGATAAGGTTTTCTCATTTATAATGCATAAATATGGCTCTAGACGATGGCTATATCCTTTGCCCCCACCTCCTTCTAGCATCCTCTTCTTCTTAGACCATCCGCATCCTTTGGAAGCTTTGCTTTTAATAGTGGCAACATATCGATTACATAATACCCACAATCCCCCAGTTGGTTTTTCAGAAACACTTTGTTGCAATACAGAATTCCACATTTATTTGCTCCACAAGAGGGAGCACTAATGCTATTGAATACCAAGAACACAGGTGTGATTATATAGAGAGTATCTAAAAGGGGGGTATTTAAAAAAGAAGGGTTTTTAAAAGAAGGGAAATTAAAAATACGATTTTAATACCAAAAAAGAATGAGTATTTCTACAAAATCCTAAACTAAACTTTATCAATTTACCTCCTCAATATTAACTCCTTATATTAGCTAATCAATAGCTTAATCAAATAGATTACTAAACAAGCCACCTATTAGGGATTTATATTAATAATTATGATGTGATAACCTGAGCATATTATGTCCCTACACATGTATGTATGGGTCTCTGTCTCGACCAAATTAATTAATACAGGCAACTAGTATCCCTGGGATTAATTAATTTGTCTGGACAGAGGGTACCGTTCGGCTTTAGTCTGGTCACTAATTAACTAACTAAGTAGTTGATTTAATCAAAAGAACAGATATATATGTATGTATAATGCCTAAAGGCTAAAAGAAAGTTAAGAAAATAAATTCCATATTCCATTCCGCTCGCTTGGCTGATCACTGAAGCCACAAATCCAAAAGCCAAATTGATTTAAAAACACGCCTAAACGGGCATCACAGGCAAATAATAAGCAAAGTCAATGGGCGTATGAAAAAGCGGTTTGTCAGTCGGCAATTGCCAAAAAAAATAAAAAAACAAAAAACACATAAAAACATTAAAAAATAAAAAAAAAGTGAAAAGAATTTGAAAAGTGCCTGCCAGCCAAAAGCTGTCTAACAAATCATATGCAAGGGAACAGGAAAAATGCCATAAAAAAAGCTAAAAAAAAGAGAGAATATTGGTAGAAATATTAGGGAATAATATGGAGGTTAGAATACTCTTTTTTTTAGATAATAAATATTAAAAATTAGGTTATGGAGGCTAGGGAGGTTATAATACTCTTTTTTTTTAAGCAAAAAATATAAAAAATTAAGTTAAAAGATAGTTTTAAGATTTTTTATAAATATTTTTAAAAGAAAAGAAGGTGTTTTAACAAAAATATCAAAAAACTAACAGACCACTATCGTAGAAATTGAAAAAGTGAGGTTAGTTTTGATTATTTAGTGATGGTATAGGATATAGGATATAGAAAGCTATAATAGGGAACTAATATGGTTTGTTTCGAATTATAAGAGGGTAGGTCTTTAAAAAAAAGGGGTTTTACAAAAAATTAGAATTTAATTATAACTTATCTTTAAAAGTAAAAGAGTAATTAAAGCTTAAACATGTGGACAGACGGACAAACGGACACACGGACAGCCAGACACTGTAATATTTTGAATATTAAAGCCTATATAACCCTGTCTGGTGGGTTAGATATAATGGTAGCTTTATATAGCTTAGCTATAAAATATTCCTCCAATATTTTAACCAAAAATCATAACACCCTTTGATAGGGTATCCCAAAAAAAAAATATGAAAAACTGGAAATGGAAATGAAAACGCGGCACACTTTTCAGGGCGCTCAATAAAGCGCAAAATGATTTGTGGGTGTGGGTGGATGGGTGGTTGGGTAGAGCGAGACCTTGCCAAATGCCTCTTTTTTTTTTGGGATGGGGGGGGTGTAGGCAGTGGGCGTGGCAGTAGCTCACCTTATTTATGCCTAAGCTGCTTGTAAATGAAGTGTGTCGGTGTGTGTGTGTCGGTGGAGGAGGAGGAGGAGAAGGAGGAGGAGGAGGAAAGTAATTAAATGTTGAAAATGAGACGCGCGATTTGAGTCGCTTTTCCATCATTATGTTTGTATATGTTTGTTTAACTGTGTGTGTGTGTGTGTTATCTACCGAGTGTATGTGTGTGTGGCATAAATATTCGATGCTTAATGATTTTATGATAATTAGCCTTAGTTCTCGGGGACTCGACGCTTGTAAAGCGATTAGTGACGTTGCCTAATTAAGGTTACAACTTGCCAAGCAAATCCAATGCCAGTTCCCTTGGCATCTTTGCTATAAAGGCACTGACAAAAAATAAAGGGGTATTTCTAAATTAAATATTTAAATTTAGAAAAAATTTTTATTAAAAATATTAAAGATTAGATAATTTTTAATAAAAAAAAACATATGAAAGTTGGGAATTTTTTTAAGAAAATTAGAAAGAGGAGTACCGGGTATCATATATTAAGGAAACCTCAAATTAGGGGTTCTTTTTTGTTTATTTTTCGATAGAAAAATTATTTAAATAATTTAAACTATACTCAGATTTAAAAAAATATAAAAGAAATAAAATAAAATAATCAAAAATATCAAAACATATAAACTATTTTTTTCAGTGTTCTTAATAGAGCCTCCAAAAAAGGTAGAACTTAACCCCAAAAACCTATCAGACTGCCCTTCTAGACTGCTTTAAAGACAATAAAAACCATTGATAATAATTTAACCCATTTAACGACTATCGTTTATAATATATATCGTTAATATTTGTTTCAAGTGCAATTTGGCAATCGAATCACGCTCTCATCACTGCCACTACGCTCATTATTTATGCAAATGACCAGTGTAATTAAGGTGGCCAAATGCATTTCGGTTACGATTTCGGTTCGTTTTGGCTTCACTTGCCCTGGACGGGAGGGGTCAGTTTCTGGGATTGGGGATTGGGGATTGTTTGCCAGCCATCAGATGGGAAAGTTTCAATATGGGACGACCAGGACAACAAGGACAACAAGGACGAGCGACGTAAAACGTAATTGTTTCGACCATAAAAATACGATGCAAATAAACGAGGAAGAGAATTGGGAACCGGAAGCGAATCCAGTACGGCTACTTAGTGTTTGGGTTACTGTCAGACCTTACGATTTTTACACAGAAAGAAATAAGGTACAATTATAGGAAATATTAAAAAAAAAACAGGTCAGGTAGGGGCTTCTAAAGACAGGGTTGTCTAGCTTTTCTAAAGTAGGTTTCTTCTTTATTTTCTTGATTTCTTGACCCACTATTTCTCGCTGTGTATTAACCCCCGTCACCCCTTTCCGATTTCGTCCAAGCCCCCCTGCAATCGGCAATTGCATGAATGAAGTGCGTTGTGGCGCATATGCATGTAAATTGGCAATTCCAATTCCGATGCCATCGTGTTGGCCAGAAACTTTTGCCAATGCTGCCCGTTGGCCAGTGGATCCAGGGGCGTGGTGGTGGCCGAGTATTACGTGCCAGAGTTGCCAGAGTTAACTGCAAGAATGCGGGCAAGTATTCGCCGGCAGTTTCGGTAGCGAATTACATTTTTTTGTTGTGTTGCCTGCTTTTAGGCGTAAATATTTACGCGCTTCCATGCGGGAGAGTGCCAGAGTGGGTGGGCGAGAGAGTGTGTGGTTGAATGTATCTACATATGTATGTATTTATGAGGGTGTGTGGTCTGAGGTCCCAAAAAAAATACATACTAGAATAGAAGCATTCTTTAAAATTGGTTTAAAGTTTGCATTATCGGCCTAGAGAAGATGGCTTTCTGCGTGACTATTGGTGTTGCTCTCGATTATTCACTATCGATATCATTTTATTATCGGTACTGATCAGTGATGATCCTTACTGATCCTTTTATAAAGCTTGTCAGTTCTTGCCTTGCCTCAGTTGCTCTCTCTCTTCCTCTCATTCATTCGAAGGAAGCTCTCCATTCAACTATTTCTCTATTTGTCTCGTTTACTCAGCATGGGTAAGCTATCGGTACTGATCTGTGCTGCCCTTTTATAAAGCTTGTCAGTTCTTGCCTTGCCTCAGTTGCTCTCCCTCTTCCTCTCATTCATACGAAGGAAGCTCTCCATTCAACTGTTTCTCTATTTGTCTCGTTTACTCAGCATGCTATCGGTACTGATCAGTGCTGCCCTTTTATGAAGCTTGTCAATTCTTGCCTTGCCTCAGTTACTCTCTCTCTTCCTCTCATTCCTAAGAAGGAAGCTCTCTACTCGACATGTCGTTAGTGCTCTCGTTTACTCATTATGGGTAAAGTATTGGTTCCGATTAATGCTGCCCATTATAAAAGCCTTCCACCTCGTGGGCTAGCCCCATTTCCTCTCAAAAAAAATCAACTAATTTTCAAATCGTTTATTTAAAGACTAAACATTAAGCCTAAGCCTTTATTGACAATATTTTATTGGCTTCTATTAGCTCTATTATGAGCCACTTAGCTGCCAATTGGTTTGAAGCTTATAATTTGGCAAAAGCAGGCACAGTTCGTGCCACCTTTTTTCAGCCATATGCGTTTATATTTGATAGTATTGGCCACACACCCGCCCCCGGGAATATATAATATAGATCAAACTAGTCATTCAATGCATTGCAATCGGAATCTAAATCCAACATCGAAATCGGTCCGACTTAACTCGATAATGCAGAGTTGAGCTGAATAGAATGGCATTTGCATAATGCCCAGCCCATCAAATGCCCAGTGTGCTGTCAATATTTATAACATAAATTACGCTTCTCCATGAACGGAAATGTCCCGGGTATATACTATAATATAATATATACGTATATACATATACATATATCTTTATATGCAATGGAATCATTTTTGGCCATCAGTCCAGTTCGTTGGTAATCCACAAACCGCTTGCGCACACAAATTATTTTTGCATTTTATTTATTTTGAAAATTGGCCATAATTTATTCATAAGTCCCTCACTGGATCTCCCTATCTCTCTCTCTCGAGCTGCCATTGCCTCTGTCTCTGTCTGTGTCTCGTGTATGTAAATGTTTATATTTATGCATTATGCCATTTTTGTGAACGCTTTTCAGCCTGTTTTCATTTTCATTTGGTTTGGTTTTCCCTCAAAAGAAACCGCAAACACAAAAAAAATATAAAAAAACAAAAAAAAAAAAAGAAAAAAAACCAACTCGCGGCATTAAATTGAATACCATGTGTGTAATTCTATTTACTTAAACTTTAATGAAGGCAAACTTAGGGAAAAAATACACAAATATAAATAAACAACATCTATCATCTAGGAAAGGTGACAAAGCCGGAGATTATATAGCCTAGAAGTTCAAAAATGAGGCTCGTTTCTCATAAAAATTGCTTAAAGAGAGAACTAGTGTGACCCTGTTCTTGAAAAATCAAAAATCTCATTCTTTTGATTACGAAAATGTTTCCCTTCATAGCGTTAGGACATTTTTGTCTCGACCTGAGCCTATTTAAAGGCGAGACGAGCTGATTTTCATCAGAACTCGGTGTGGAGCCCAACCAACCACATCTAGCTTCTCAATATTCTGGTTCTGATTTTATTTTTTCTGATTTATTTTTTTTTTTTTCATTTTGATTAAAATAGTGGGTCTTGTAGTATATGGCAATAGAGACTCCAAATTGTCTTTTTTTTTTTTTATTTATTTCGAAACTTTTTTATTTTTGATTTTACTAAAAACCACGATAATAAGTTTTTCTGACTGATTTTTTCCGCCCGATTTTCTTATTTTTATTTATTTTCAAATTTTTTTCTTTGGATTTAAAAACTACAATAATAATTTTGTTGCGCCTGATTTTCTTATTTTATTTGTTTTTAAATATTTTAAAAATATTTAATTACGCTTCAGTTTTTACTTCCGAAATATATGTATTCGAGAAGATCGTTATTATTGGCACGATTCATTATTAAGTTAATCTTGCCTGGGTTATAGTTTTTCAGTTTATAGCCAGAGTGTCGTATCTGATTATTTTATTTTTTTATTATTCTTTGGGCTTTTGCACCTCGACTTCTAATTTTTGCATAAGCAACCTAATTCGTAATATATATATATATCATCGCAATTGCTTAAAAAAATATATATATAATATTATCGCCTGATTTTCTTATTTTTATTTATTTTCAAATTTTTTTTTATTTTGGATTTTACTAAAAACAATAATAATACAATAATAATAATAATAATTTTGTTGCGCCTGATTTTCTTATTTTTTTTTTATATATTTTTAAAATATCGACCTTAAATGCAGACATCGCTTATAACTACGCTTCAGTTTTAAAATTTTAACTTCCAAAAGTTGGTGCCTCAAGGGAATCGATGTCTTTGTTCTTCTTTTAATCTGATTTTTTTTTAATTAAAATTTTTTTTAACTTAATTGTGTTAAGTTTATTTTTTATTTCGACTACCCATAGTCCTACGATGAGAAGTTTCTTCTCTATGGTTTCCTGATTTTCTTATTAATTCTTTAAATTCTTATTTATTTTTTTTTTATATCTATTTTATATAAAATAGGACATCATGGGTCCTATGGTGATAGTACGCTTATTTGGTTTCCTGATTTTCTTATTAATTCTTTAAATCCTTACTTCGTTTGTTTAAAATTTTATATCCTCGGCAAGAATAAAAAATATATTGAAACTCTTTTTTTTGCATTTTTATTTGAGTTGGTAATATTATTTTTGTTTTTTAATTAAAAGCACATTTTGAATCCGACTGGCGGGCCAATAAATTATGGCAAATGCTTTAATGCAAAAAAAAAAAAAATAAAATAAATATTAAAGAAAAAAATTCGCATGGAAAAAATTGAATGGAAAATGGCAGCATGCAGATGTGACAAAAAAAAAAGCAAATATTGTGGGGAGATTGTTGTTGTTGTTGGGTGAAATGTGAGTTGCATTCCATTATTATTTTCACAGCCGATGATGGACTTCTGGTTCTAATGGTTAATTTCACAGAAAATCATCTGTAAATTTGCATAATTTGCAATAAATCGAGTTAAGGCTATTAAATAAATAGCACGCAAGTGAGAGTAGAAAAAGGGTCTGGATGTTAGCTTTTCCTGATTAATGTGGTTTCTTTTTTTTTTTTTTAATCAGATGTTTAATTTAATTAAATCCCAAAAGTATTACTATGTCAGGGCTAGGGCTAGGTTGACCAAGTTTTAATTGAAAATAAAAAAAAAAAATAGGGCCAGGATAGTTACCTTTTCGCCACTGTCCGATGGCAAGTAGAACACGAGGATGGTGAGGAAACTGATGCCCATGCAGGGTATAATCAGGTTGACCGTATAGAAGAGTGTCTTCCGACGCATCGTTATGTTGAAGGTTATATCCAGATATGGCTCATCGCAGCACGTATAGAACTTTTCGTTCCTATAAAATAAAAGAAAAACAAGAAAAATTCAAAATAAATACCACAAAACATGACATAAAAAGGCATATCATTGAGGCGGGGTTTTTAGGCAAATTGTTACGCAGCGCGTAAATATTTATTAAGGTTTATTCTCTGGTTGCTGATATTTATATTGATGGTATTAGATTCTATGTAGTATGGGTATGGGTGTGTGTATCCGCAGTGCCAGCCAACTGAACCGAGTCCTGTATTTATTTACATAAACACGTAACGCACATATCCAAAGATATATGGCTCTCCAATCACATAAATCATCGGCCGCATGATAAATATTGTAAAATGTTTGAAAAAAAAAATACTAGAGTATTGGCCAATAATGTTAACTGAGTGCCAAACTGAGTTTTAGCCTCTGTCTCTAGCCTCCAGTTGTTTTCAAACTGTGTAGTTATACCCGCTACTAGTAAACTAACCAGAGAATTTTAGAGATATATGTATCAGATAGTGAAGGAATCATCTTCGAGCCCATAAAGCTTAGAAGTTCTTGAACAGAAATGGAAGGAAAGGAGGGAGAACCTTTAAGAGAACCAGGCGCGTTTCGAATACCAAAATATAATAAAAATAAAAATTTTAAAAATCAAATAAGATGTTGTTAAAAAAAAAAATAAACATTAAAAAAATTAGCCTATAAGGTTAGTAAAATTAAGTCTAAAATAACTTAAAATAAAACTTAAATCATACAAATATTCGAACGCCTTTTAGCGACAAATACCTTTTATAAGCAGGGATTTATGGATGGGATTTTTGCCTTTTCCAGAATCAGGTCACACTAAAAATATTCAAATTAAAGATGCACTCTTTCAAGGTATATTATTGCATTTTAAAAACTGTCTGTTTTTCTTTACAAAAAAAAACAATAGACAACTTTTGGGATACAAAAAAACAAAACCAATTATAAAATTAATTACTGCCCCAGTTGCATTCCCATTTGATTATTTTTAATCTATTTAATTTAATCAATTAATTCCACGACAATTAGTTCAAACGTCAAAACTTTAAGCCATTTTCATTAAAACAGTTGCGACATATGACATTCCTTTCTGCTGGTTTTTTAGTTAAATATTTTATTTCCTTTTTTTTTTTGTTATTTTTATTTTTCTTTTCGACCAAATGCATAATTTAAAAGTTAATAATCTGTGACTGCCGTCGCTGTCCAGAAACAGGAAAGAAATGATTTTTGTAATTTGAGTTGAAGGAACTTTTTTGTGGAAAGAAAAAGGAAGAGAAACGTACGAAATATTTTATATATAAACCTTAAAAAATTTATAACTAGAGGGCATGAACGAAAGAAAAAGAATTAAAGGGGTAAGAGTCAGGGTTTTCTTTTCTTTCATTTTTTAATATATTTTTTTTTTTTTTCGAGAACCATCAATAATTCCAAGGGGTTTGCGGTTTCATTTTGAATAAGAAAATATTGTAAATAAATAATAAACAAGCAAGGAGAAAGGATAATGCGGTGAGTGGTTGGTTAGGGGGATAGGGGCAGGGGAAGGAGGAGACAGAAGGCAGGACATCGACAGGCAACAGAGGATGTGGCCGGCAGGCAACTTAACTGTTTGTGGCAGTTGACTTCCCTTCCAAATAGAAATGAAGTATGTGGCAATAGGCACACAAAAATGGTATCTGAATGGAGGGTCCTGTGGAAAATAAGGATGTGCTTGAGAGTGTCTGTGTATGTCTGAGTGTCTGTGTGTGTGTGTGTGGTGTGTGTGGCAAGGAATCCGGGATTGAAGGCCAACATCTTGTGGGTTAGTTTTGATGGCTGCAGCAATAAAATATAATTTGCCAAGGCAATTCCAAATGTCAGTCACTCAAAAGGCACAGACCAGAGAGAGGGGAGGGGAAATAGAGAGGGGAAGACAAATAGAAAGAGAGGGAGAATGAGAAGGTCTACAAAGAACAAAAGGGAATACTATATGAAGGATTTCATTTCAAGGTCTACAGATATCTCCCAAAAATAATATAAAATTTATATAAAATATGATCTTAAATTTAATTGTTTAAGACCCTATCGCCATTTATCCATAATAATACTAATACATAATAATACTACTAGTATACAATATAAACTAGTTACGTTTATTTTGCCAAAAATGTAATATATGGCCCTTAGATTAAGTCTGCCAAAATGAGCTTTGGTCAACGAAAGAAAACATGACTACTACTATGTACATATATCCCAAAAGGATAAAATCCTTCTTGCAGCCCAAAGACACTAGAAAGCTTAGGAGAGACTTGGGGGGAAGATATATATATATATATATAAAACGTGTAAAGGTCAGTGTAATAAGTTCGGTTTTGTTGGTTAGCAACCGACGATGGGAAACATACAATAAATCATAAAATAGGCAAGAAAAAAAACAACATACATATATATATGTATATATCTCATCCATGGAAATATAGTACACGCGTGCCTCTACATGGCGCCGGTAGATGGCGCCATATAGGCAAAAAAAAAAACACACACACACAAAATAGAGAGAAAGGTCTAGAGAGGATACATTGGACAGAACAACAAATACCAGCCAAGACCAGCAGAACTTCAGTTTGATTTGACTCCGAGGCACATGCCACTCCCACACTCAATCTGTGGCACCACCCCGCACCACCCCCTTCCACACATAGGCCACAACAAACACTGAAATTGGCAACAATTCATCAATGCGCTGGGCCACGCGGCGTATGCGTAATAAAGGCAAGCCAAATGGCAACAGGACTCGGGACTCCGGGACTCGGGTCTTGGGGAGAACTAAAGTGAATGGAAGATTTAAGTACCCTCGTTCCGATTCCATCACGATTCTGATTTATTAACAGTGAGAGAAAATGTGGGTGAATAGTTTTGGTTTAAAAATAAAAGAAAATATATAAAATATAAGACTTGAAGTTTTAAATAATAGAAACAGTATTAGTTTTTAATAATAACAACAGACTAATAATTTTTAATGAGAAAAAATGGGAACATAATCTTGAGAACACAAAACAGTAAAAAATGTATAAATAACTTCCTTAATTTCGGTTATTTTTTAATATTTTTATTCATACCTAAAATGTCCTAACGCTTTTACGACGTTATGAAAGCCTCTAATGTGCCCATTTCTTTGATTTTCTTATGTCTTAAATAATACCTTAAAGCTAGACCAAGTTTGTGATATATTTTTAATGAACACCTACAGTAAGAATTAAAGGGTACATCAGGCGACACTTTTAAAGAATTTAAACTGAAAGGAATTCCTTCGGGGTCTAACCATAGGATTGAGGTGGAGGAATGGAAAATTTTCAATGGCAGTGGAAATGGAAATCGAAAGCAGCCGCCAAAGTCAAACAAAATATATCCCATATCCCCTCAAAAAAATACACCACCCCACCAACCATCCACCTATCTACTCTCCTTCCGAAATCCCTCCCCTGGTCTTTGTGAATGATTTTCTAGAGAAACAGATTCGAAATCAAATGTTATTTAGATTTGCAGCCACCTCATGCTATTCACATTTCTTTTTTTTTTTTTTTTTTGTATATTTCATTTCAATTTTACTTTCGTTATTTTTTGTCGATTTTGGCAACCGTTTGGGTCGCCAAAAATTAAGTGAAATTCCAACGAAATTGAATGCAGAAACTCTTCGTCACGTATTCGCCAGAGGAGAGCGAAAGAAAAAAAAAGTTACAGGGGTGGCTACCACACTAAAGTGACCGAAAATGGTCAAAACGCTGATTGACAACGGGGACCGGGGAGGGGCACTGGGTGGGGTGGGGAGGGAAGGGGAGGAGGGTATGGCAGTGGAACAGCTTGGCTGATTGAAGTCAAAGAACAAACGCATAAATACGAAATGATTGGCAACATATAAAAAAATAGAAAAAAAAAATAAAATGGAAAGAAGCTAAGAAGAAGACATAAAGAAAGCAAAAGAAAAGAAAGCATTTCTAGGCACACACCCCGTCCCCCCCTTTCAGACACCTACTAGGAGGGTGAGCTGTGGGGGAGGAGAAAGGTCTCTACGGTTGATTGATTTCAACAACTTTGTGCCAAAAGTTCTCTATGAGTTTTCGAGTGTTTTCATGTCCCAATTTTTGGGTGTTTTTTTTTTTGTTTGTATGCACTGACAGAAAAACTTTTTAAAAACTTAAATAAAGAATATAACTTGCTTCTTATAAACCTTAAAAAGTCTTTATGCTTTTGTTTAAAACTATAATATTCATTGAAAGAGTGCATCTCTAATTCAAATATTAAAGTGTGACCTTGCACTGAGAAATGCAGAAATCCCATTCTCCAAAATACCTCCATTTGGCTTTAAAGGCTTTAGGACAATTTTGCCTCTATCCGAGAGTATTTAAAGGCGAGACGAGCTGATTTTCTTCAGAACTCGGTGTGGAGCCCAACCAACCACACCTAGCTTCTCCTTATTCTGGTTCTGATTTTATTTATTTTTTTGGATTTTACTAAAAACCACAATAATAATTTTGTGCGGCCTGATTTTCTGATTTTATTTATTTTGAAATATATTTTTTTTTACTTTGCATCTTTCTAAAAGCTACAATAATAATTTTGTTGTACCTGATTTTCTGATTTTATTTATTTTCTTTTTATTTTGAATAAAATTAAAATAACCTTCCGCCATTTTATTGCTGACAAACCGAAGTCTCAGAATCCCTTGCGATACTTTTCCCTCGTCCATATCATAGACGAGGAATGTGGGAGTCGTTTCTCAATTTTAAAACAAATTTTTTTTTTTTAGATTCCTCAATTGAGGAAACCAGAAAATCAAAGAAAGTAATAGAATTTTAATAACTAACATAAGCACGCTTCGTTGCATGACTTGCAAAAATATAGAAAGAGAGAAAGTCGGAAAAGAAAAAATCGAATAGGGAACATCCCTGGAGGATAAGATGGCCTGAAAATTTCCCAAAGGCGTGGCAATTGAGATGTGACCGCAGGGTTGTCAGAGGAGGACAAGGAGTGGGATGG